GACTTATGCGTGATGCTCCAAGCCCAGTTTACTATACTCAAGGTTAAAGAATTGCCTAGAGCTTATGCTTAAACATATTAGCACTTGAGGAGAAACGGAGGTTCACACTTATATATTGAGTGTTTCTTTAAGAATTACATAAATTTTAATTATAATAAAGCATTAAAATATATTTTTAATATAATTTAAAGTACCTCAATTAAATAGAATATTTAATGACATTAATCTTTAAATTTAACTTTAGCCAAAATTAATTTTTTTTTGGATAGATATTTTTGGAATAAAAGCTTGCGCATTCTCCTGACTCGAGATGCGACAATTCTGAACCGATACTTGCAAATAAAATTTAAACAATTTGCAAGCATTGCTCTGATATAAATCAATTCATATTATGATGTCCAATTTAATTCAATAAACACCAACTATCACTTGCTAAATGGGTTACCAAATAAATAACTCTTTGAAAAAGATGTCCTTTACATATATGCCAAATTTCAAATGGAGAGCTAGACGAAGCACAAGCAAAACCATTCAAATCAGTTAACTACGTGAGCGCAAGCTAAACTAAACTTACTGTTCTTATATTCTTCATACGCCACAACTGATTTACTTAACAATTATTACAGGGTATTTAAATTAAAGTAATACAAAATGAAATCTCAATGAAATAAAATTGAAACTGCGTTCATCCATGCAAATGCTTGGCCATCGCTCTAAGTGCTTTACTTTTGAGCTCAGTATGGCTGTGAGTGTTGAGCTCGAGCTCTGTCAATGTGCTAGCTTGGACTACTGCAGATCTCCTCGAGCTGTCTCAAATTGCATGATCGCAGCGTTCATTTCTGTGCGAAGAGAATCGTTAGTTTCTATTCAGGTCTGCTCTGTATATATCTATTATATATATTATTTTATATATATGTACGTTATGGGCTCTTCTAGATTCATACATTAGTGGTGTTTGGGGGGGTGGGCAAGAAATGATTTCTTTCGTTGCAGCGCCTGGCTCAGTTACTAATTCGGGCCCCACCTCGGCAACATAATTCTTGTCGCAGCCACCTGCCGGGCTGGCTGGCAGGCAGGCAGGAGAAACGGCTTGAAATTTCAATTAAAAACTGTAAACTTTTGCCGGCGCTGCTCGGGAGGGCTGTGGCGTTATTTTTGAAAAGTTATTCATAACATTGAATCAATGGTAAAGGAGCAAAGTCCAAGTCCGATGCGAAAGAGCATTGTGCATGAAAATTCAACAACGGCCACAGGGCATTTTATCAGCACTCGCCGTTGACTCGTATTAGGCTGGGCGGCCTGCAGGTGGAGGCGCCCAGCGCTGGGTCCACTGACAGCGATGAGCAGAAATGCTGCTGACGGAACCCGAAGCCAAACAGGCGCCAACATTATCGCCAGCCAACATTATTCATTATCGTTTTGCCCCGCCAAGCGGGCTGGCCATCGTATTGCAAGTTGGTGACATTGCAACAGATACTTGTGCGAGGTCCGGGTGCTGCAGCAGCAGCAGCAACAGTAGCAGTAGCAGTAGCAGCAGCAGCTGCTTCAAGTTATGCAATGCCTCTTCCTGGCCGCAGCAGGCATTCAAGCTATACAAAGGACCCCGCCCCACCGTCAGGGTGGGCCACCTTTGCCCGCAGCCGAGCGCCTGCCTTTGAGCCACATAAAAGTCGGGCTCCAGACAAAGTTTTGCACTGTCAAATAAAAACGAAACAGCCAACAGGAAAAGCAATACCAACGCCGTCTCCGTCGACTGCCGGCGCACAAAAACTTCCGTTTCATCTTGTTCGCCAGCAATTGCTGGCGCCCATTGGGCTAGACCCGAGCTGGTCATCGAAATTCGAGCAGAATGCAAGGCACTGCTGCAACTAGTTGGAGCAACTAAATTAGTCTAAGAAATATCGAAGATATCGATATATGGAACTGTGCTAAGTGTTATACGGCTACGGTTGACTCAGCAATGGGCATGCGGGTTCGAATCACAAACAAAACTTTGAATTGAGTCTAAAGGGATATAGAAATTAGTTGATTAAGGCAAATATGATCGAGGAACAAGTACAATCTCTAGCCTTATTCAATGTGCATAGAATATCTTAACAAGGTGTTGCTATGCCAAATTTATATTACTGAAAAACGGAAATATTTTTAAACTCTTTCTACTCGCGTTTCCTAGTCCCTTTGCTCTGCTTGTGACGGGGATTGTGATTGCGACTCTTGTTGTTGTTCTGACAATGCAACGCCGCATTTATGTCCCAAATCTTGCAGGCGAACATATCACACACACACAGACACACACACACACACATTGACCAGCACGTCGCCGCCTTGAAACCTGCATCCGCCCCTCAGCACCCCCCTCCCAACCGCTTGCCACTCTCGGCTCAAGCAGACAGTCGCTTTCGCTTGGCATCAGATTTTCATGGCTCGCACAGTTTGAGCTTTGCATATATTTTGCATTTATGCAAAGACGCTGGGCTTCGCGTCTGTGTTCTCAGTCGGCTACCCTTAGCCGTGCCCGCGGCCCCCTCGCAATACAGCATACAAAAAACGAAATGGAGCGCAGCTTGTAGCCCAAATAAAAGGCAAAGCAGCTGCTACGCCCACTGCAAAAGTTTAAACTTTTGTGTTGTATGCGGTTTTTCTGTGACATTTTTGTAGATTTAGCTTTGGGCCTGTTGAACGAGTCGACCAAACTGTGCAAGCCCAGCCACCCGCCCACAACACCGCCACGCCCAGCGCCATCATCCAGCTGGTCTTGTCTGCTGCTCAGCTCAGCTTTATGAAATTTTCGGCTAGCAATCGACTTTATTTTTTGTATTTTTATTTTATTTTTATTTTTATTTATATTTTTTGTGTTGAGGTCGCTGCTCGCCGAACATTTGTGGTTAATGAATACTTCTTGAGGGCCGAGCGAAAACTTACATTTTTAACAGTTTGCGCCATTTACAAAGCCGAGCAAATCTCGCAGCAGTAGAAATAAGTTTGATGGCCAACAATGCTCTCGACTTCAAATAAATGGAACGCTTTGAGGTTTGGGGCATAAATAAAATCGAATGCACTTGCATCACATATATTAAATATCTTGGAATATCTCTTCTAGTTGGAAATCGCTGTATTCTGAAAGACCTTCGCCGTCTATCGTTTTATTGTCTTGGCTGTGGCAAAGCAAAGTGTTATCAACAGCGAGCTGTGGAGCTGTGTGGAAGGAAGGGATCAGTTATAAATCAAGTTTATATATGCAATAATATTATATCTTTCCCAATCCGGCTCGTATATATGGGCAATATCTTATCAACAATCGACTCGCCTCTATAGGGAAGCTTTCAGTGTAACAGTCATAACAATGGCGTTTCTCGTGCTGCACCGCATAACTACAAATGTTTATATTATTCCAACTGCTCCGGGCCGCTGAGCACAGTGCTGTTGTCAAAGAACAACTGCTTTGCGGGCTTCCAGGCGACGCCCACTGGGCAAACATCCCCTTTGACCGAATCATTGTTTATTTAGTAGTCCCTGCCACTCGACCCTGCGTCTGGGCATAGCCAAGTGATGCAAAAGTGTGAATCAAGCAACGGAAGAGCCGCAACAAACATATTCAACGGATGCTGAGTCTATTCAGCCGTGTTTCTCTTAACAAATGACGCTAAAGAGAACTTTTTGATGTGCATGTGATATTTGCAGGCAATTCGTATCCTTGAATTCAATTGAATGACCTAAGATTGTGTGAGCTGTTAAGCTTTATACCAAACTAATCGACAGTTCGAGCAGCGACGTCATTTTTACTCCTGTATCTATTGCCAAGCTCTACTTTCAGCAGAGGGCTGAAGTGTTCTCCTCAGCTCATTGTGCTCTCCCTTAGTTCACTTTAAGATAAAAGCGTCAAATTGTAGATAAAAGAGACCTGAATGAGGTGGCCTCTAACGCAATGATAATGCTTGAAAAATATAATTTGAATTCACATATATTTGGCAAAAGCAGCTGCAACTGTCACTTTTGATATCTGTTCAGCCTACTTAGAGCTAGAAAGACATTTCACAACTTTCTGCAGATCCAGCTCGGGCTTCATTCAATGATCTCTCATGCACAGAAACATTTAGAAGTTACACAATGTTGAAAGCATTTGTTATATTTCGAATGACAGTCTTCGCTCTATAGAGATCCTATAGCCATATATAAAGCTTGCTTTAAGTTAACTTTTAGTCAAATATGATGCCACTTTGAATTGAGCAGCCTGATTAGGCTGAGAGCTTAAAGATTTATGCATATAATTATAGTAATTTAAGTCAAGTCTTAAGTCATTCCTTGACCAAATCTGTGAATGGCCAAAGAGTATAACACAATTTAATGATTCCGAGAAGAGCTTGTAAAACATATTAAATAAAAGAATAAGAAAAATTATTAAAACTTATTTCAAGTGCGCAGCACTTAAAAGTATATTTGAAAAGATTTTTGAGCTCAGTTAATTCAAGCAACTTAAGAAACTTGTTACACACTCAACTCTAAGCTCATCGGAGAAGCTAATACCTTGACTGAAGAGAGAGAGAGTCTCGCGAGGCGATTGTTTAGCTGCTGCAACTTAATGAAATCGCTTATTGTAGGATAAGCTGCTGCATAATGCACATTTGATGTATGTATACACAGCTGTATACTGAGAAAGTTAGGCTGCATTTTGGCAAGAAGCACTGAGCACCTTGCCGCCGATCAAACCCGTCTTGCTTAATTTGAGTGTGAATTTAGCGATTGTCGTTGCATGCAAACTAGCCGAAGCGGGTTTTTCCTATAGAAAATTAGTTGGTAATCAATGAGAGAGAGATAGAACGGAACTAACAGCGAGTCAGGGGAAGAGGCAGAGGCGGCCAGCCACTTGGAGGTCATTTTAATTGCGCTGGCTTCGAGTCGAGTGCCCGGCTCTGCTGTGATTAGTTGATTTAGCGCACTTCAATCAGTTAGTTCAATCAAGCTCTAGCATCAGCATCGTGGCTACCTGCAATCTCCCATCGATGACGTCATATGCGCTGCTGTCGCTGACAGTTCTACTGATGGTTGCCCAGCTAAAAGCCCAACTGATTGCAGGTGCGCGCGTGGACAATAGAGAGACAGCTGCACACGCGGCTCAGTTCGTCTAAGTTTCCAACTCTTATCGAATTTCAGGCTACATCTTTTTTTTTTTTTTTTTTTTTTTTTTTTTTTTTTTTTTTTTTATTTCTTTATTTTGTTGCAACTTATTGTCTTAGACTCTATAGCGCATTTAGCTCTAAACCTTAACTAATGGGAGGGCAGATATGCCAATTATTCTGCACTTGTAGCTACTATCTTAATTAGTTCTAATATTGTCTAGAGGATGCAATCTCTTCAGTCTTCGCCTATTGTTGTTTATAGCCAGGTTGCTTGCGAGATGGTTAGGATGCGCTGCAAGTCTGTCCGCGTATCTTGAACTGTGTCGCCCAATGAGTTCAGCAACTGTGGGAATTGCTAAATCCCTATGTAAGACTGAGTTTCTTACAAACCAGCTGGCTCCAGTCCATCTGCGTAGTGCTTTATTCTGCAGGGTCTGAATTTTGTTCCTTGTAGTCTTCGCCGAGGAGCCCCATAGAGAGATACCATATACGAAGGTTGGGACAACTATTGCCTTGTAGATGGCGGCCTTGCTGCTGTAAGACAACTTGCTTGAAGCTCTCAGCATCCAGTCGAGGGTTTTTAGCTTGCTTTTGCATTTTGAGGTTACTTGACTTATGTGCGCTTTAAAAGTCAGCCTTCTGTCAAGAGTGATACCAAGGTACTTTACTTTTGAGGCTTTGGGAATAGTGGGCCCAGCACACCTGATGAGTTGCCCCAGCATCCGTATTGCGGCACCTCGTTTTCGTTCAAGGTGTACGGAGGTCACGTGACGAACCTTTTGGAGTTTCCCTGGACCACATTGCTGGAGTACACAGTGGTCGGCAGTGGCCAGAAGCAGCACAAGTGCGGCGCCTCGTTTATCGCACAGCGCTGGCTGCTGACAGCAGCCCATTGCGTGCACAAGGACTTTGTGGGCGCGAATCGAAGACTGACCGGTGCCCGGCTGGGCGATTGGAATAAGACAAGCAATCCGGACTGCGTAACCGCGTGGAATGGCAAGCGGGAGTGTGCGCCGCCCCACATACAGGCCAGCATTGATCTGCAGCTGATGCATCCGCAGTTCGACGTGGCCAACTTGACCCACGACATTGCACTGCTGCGTCTCGCGCAGCCCGTCGACTGGAGCCAGCTGATGCACGTGGAGCCGGTTTGCCTGCCGCCAGCACGTGGAGCCAGCGCCGATCAGCTGGTGGGCAGCGCCGCGGACGTCTCCGGCTGGGGCCTGACCGAGCACAATAACCAGCCGAGCGAGGTGAAGCGCAAGGCCGTGCTCTACGTGCAGCCACAGGAGCCGTGCCGCGCGTCCTTAAGCAAACACAACTACACACTTACCGATGGCCAGCTGTGTGCCTCCGGCGGCATCAACGTCGACTCCTGTGCCGGCGACTCGGGCGGTCCGCTTACCGTCGAGGCATACACGCCCCAGAGGGACCGCTTCGTCTATGTGGCCGGCATTGTGTCCTATGGCAAAAGGATCTGCGGAGAGTCCGACTTTCCGGGCGTCTACACCAGAGTCAGCAGCTACGTCGACTGGATCGAGCAGACCATTGAAAGTAATCGCAATGCCTCAGCAAAGGCCAGCTCCTAGCTCATCGAATATATTGTTATTGGCTTGGCCTAATACTCAGGTATATTCAAAGAGCTGAAAGTATGGTTTGTGAACGAGTATTGCACAGTCTGGCATACCCGACTGTTGTATTTATACATATTTTCTGCAGCTTATAGATTGTATAGAGCTAAGATCGAACCGACAATCCACAATTTTTTTTTTTACTGTCTTAAGTTCTCAATATTTGTGTATACTAGCCGAATGTGATACACTTGAATATACCCTGCACTAGCAGCAGCAGCTAGTATATACCATATATACATATCTAGATGTTATTTCGATTATTTGAGTAGGTAAATGTGAAGTCGACATTTGGCCCTTCCATAGCCAATTTCAATGAGCTGAGTGAAAATTATGTCACCAACACGAAAAACGAACAAACAGAACCAAAATGCGACAAAAACTGGACATGTTTCGATTTCTGCGCATTGCCGTTTGTCACGATTGATAGATCTAGAGATTGCGTTGAACACACACGACAGAGTGTAATTAACAGGAGTGTGACGTCATAAGTTCGATTTACGGTTTATTAAAATATTCTCATAGCGGCCCCATCGCAGCTGCGAATCGGCTATGCCCTGAATTAATGAGTAGTTATTGATTTTCCTTGGGCTTGGCCACGTAGAACAAACATTTGCGGATCGAGCTTATCAGCAGTCTTCATTAAACTTCAAATTTTAATAGTTTTTTTTTGTTTTCTTTTTTGTAGAAATTGAGTTTTGTGGTTTGTATAACACCTTAAATGCCAATAAGCCATTGGCTAAACACCTTACCCTGTGTGGGCCGCCTTAAAGGGGTCATGCCGTAGATAACGCCGCAAGACAAATACCATAAAGTGATAAAGAACTTGTTTCATTTATGTCCAAACGGCCTGAAAATAACTTTAAAAAATGTCCAAAATGTTTATGACAATTCAAAACATTCGTTGCACTATAGTTATTTCCGTTCCTCTTCCAACTAATTAGCTAAAATACTGCCCGCTGCCTTATCGATAAGATCGAGCCACTCACCTGCAACGCGAATCTGCGCTGAGCTACTACAGCTTTGCTTCAGAGTTTAGTCTTTGTTGAAAGTACAAGAGTATCTGAAACTAGGGTTAGATAGAAGCCAGTGAAAGGGCGGATCATTGTTTGATTGGCTTCAGACTAAAGATTGTGCCATTTGAAAAGGAATGGAAAGTTTTGATGACATCAGCGTGTTGCCAATCATTATAGGCTAATGCCGTGGGGCGGAGCGTTCGACAGCTTCATGTCATTCAAGCAGTGCTAAAAACACGTTCATAAAACACATATCTCAATTTTTATTCTGATTACCAATTGGGCATGGCCCAGCGCAGGGTATACCCGGCTAGTGCATATGTATGTTGGCAGATAGAATATAGAAAATAGTTTTAATCTCGGGGTAATGAACCAAGTCAGGCCAAGACGAACCAAGTCAGATAACATATACTAGGCGAGCTAGTCATTTGAAGCGTATCTCCTGCCTTTGCACACTCAGATCTAGATTACTTCATAGCGTCAATAGTTCTACTCGCTTTCCAGGAAATTGAGAGATACGTCACGTTGGCCTTTTGACCATAGTTCGATATTTAACAATAGTGAACTCTTGCCTAATATACAGAGAGCGAGAAACTGTTTGCGTAGATCGAATCTCCTTGCCTTGACATTGTCAAGCGCTGAGAGTCTCTTCCCCCGCTGTCACTTTGCACTATCTCAGAGTCAGCTGTTATAGCAATGCTTGTGTAGAGTGGCTACACTGTGGGTCTCTTGCCCGGGAAAAGTGCACATCTTTATAAGGTATACGTAAGTTTTATTTGTCTACATGTGGCTACATGCATTACACTGCTTACAACTGTTAATACTAATGCAGGGGTGTGCATAAATTACAATAATTAATAAATACTAAGAGCGAACATGGTACATTACTACAGTATAATTACAATAAATTAAAACGTAAATGCCTAGCGAAAAAAAATAACCCGGAGAAGACGACTTCTCTGCCCAGCTTGACGCTCACTTGTTTCGCGCAAAGATCACGGCGCGCCGACAGCGATCACGATGATCGCGCATTTTACCCGCTGGACAGGGTCGCTTGACCCGGCTGGAGATGAGCAGCTGGCCGGTAAGCGTCTTGCTGTGCGGACTGTAGAAGATAAGGCGACGCGCCTCTGTCGTTTGGCTGCACTGGCCGAGCAGCAGTATCAGAGCGCATCCCACGGCGAGAATCAGGCGTTGCAGTTGCATGTTGACCGGCGGATTGGTGAGATGGCGAGATGGCGAGAGCGGGCAGGCTTTGACAGAGTTCACTGGGATACGGGCTATTTTCTTGTTGTGTGTTCGGACAGCGCGTGCGGAATTCTCTCGACGCTGGACTTGTTAAGACTGCGGACGATCGCCGATGTTGTGGTCGTAGTCGTAATTGTAGTCGACGCTGTGCTGTCGATATTTTCAATATTTAATGCGGCGCTGTCAGATTAGATAAGGGCATTCCACACGATCCGCCCGGCGATAAGATAAGCGATAAGCACGCTCGGTCCTCTGCATACCTGTAAACGAGAACTACATTTGTTGCCCCTGGACTGTTACTGGCAGCGGCCAGTCGCTTCTATTTTTGTATCTTAGTAATGGAAACGACTGTGACGAAAGCGTGCGGGAATTCACTCACCGAATTCCATGACAATGCGTTGCGTTCCGTTGCGTTGCGCGCACAAGTCGTTTACGTCATCGTCCGTGTCACCAAACTTCCGGCCCGGTTTCCACAAAATTATTCGCAATTGCCGCTCTCGCCTGAAAATATACTGCGAAACTTGCAAAGCGAAAGCTCTGCAAATGTGACTCTATCCCTGTCAGCTTCGTTTCTGCCATGTGTAACAAGAACGTGAATCCACGAAAAATGCTAATCATATTCAAGTTTGCCTATAAACTGACTTTGTCAGCCCTCAAATCATGAACTCTCGAAATTAAGCTTGAATATTTTACTTTCTATTTGCTTTTAATATTTCGACTGTCCCTTTAGCTTTGTCATTCATTCTGCTGAACCTTATTACGATCGCAGGATATTTGCCAATATTTATGACTCAATTAGGTTTCATTTGGGCGGACAGACGGGTGGACGAATAGACGGACAGAGGACAGACGGAAGGAATGATGGACTGACAGACGAACGAAGAGAGAAGGGAGAGACGGAGAGGTAGACGGAGGGGTAGACGGACGGAAGTTCAGTGTGACGAAATGACGGACAGAGGGAATAATGGACGATCGGACGGGCAAAGGGATGCATGAGCAGAGGGACGGACGGACAGAAGGACGGACGATCGGACAGAAGGACGGACAGAAGGACAGTCGGACGGGCAGAGGGACGGACGGATAAACAGGCAGACGAACGACGAACTCCGGGACAAACATTGCACAAACCAATAAACTCTTTACACTTTGTGAATGAGTTAAAGTGTTTATAGAGTGAATGAAAGCAAATAAAGTATGTAATTCCTAAAACTTCTAATGAACCTTAGAGAATTCTGAGTGAACTGTCAAGTTATACAATTCAATTCTTTTTGTTTTTATCTGATTACAAGCTAATAAGATCCTGAAGATATGTGCCACACCAAGATAATTAAAAGTCTGAGAATTTTAGTACCAAAGAATTAAAAAATTACGAATTTCTATAGAAAATAAATCTGAAGCGATTGCATTATTATTTTATTTCCACAGCAATAATTGAGTCAGGTGACCTTTGTCATATAATAGTTTGCGCCTTTCGTAATAAAGATAATCAATCTTGAAGTCATAAATTATATTTATTGCAATATTATGAGGCCGAAGGCTCCCAATTGAGGCAGGTCTGATGCAAATAATCAGTTTTATGCATTTTCCTTATTGAAAGACTTGGATTGGAGAAGTCTCTAGTCTTCATACAAATAAAGATAGCAAATATTTCAGCATAGTTCTTACACTTTCCCATCAATACATTGATGCTTTCCGATTTCTCATATAATATCTATGGAAGTCAACCTCTTAGCACCTTTAGCTGTGGCGAATATGGGAAAACTTTAACTGATTATAGGAATACTTTAAGTGTTTAGTATAAATTTGAGTCTAAAATAGCTACAATGGAAAAGAGGAATTCCCCATTCGCCATGCCTCCAGTGTATACAAAAAGTTTCAAGAGCTTCAGAGCGTTTCGACAGGCAGATAGCTGAAGATACCTTGCAGGAAACTAATATACGCTTCTTACTTGCTCAAAAGGTATATGAAATATAGCTTACTCGTTTACTTATTATTAATCTTCGGAAGTATTGCAAATTATAATTCTTAATTTAAAAGTATCGCTCTATCGATGCTTTATTGGTCCTGGAAAATGCTTTACACAATTTCCGTAGACTCAGAGGTTTCTTTGCCCATAAACTTACTTTTAGCAGATGAAGGTCACCTGGCCTTCTTTCCACTGCTCTGATTGAAGGATCCTTTATGCAATTTCAAACTTGTCCAAGCACATTTTGCTGATAAGACGCAGTTCATGTGTCCTTCTCTTAGTTGGCCTGATTCAATGTCTTTTTCGCTGTCACGCAAAATAACTAATACCCAAGTAGGCAGAGAGCTTAATGACACTTCAATACAAAGGCTTTTTCCCGACCGACTATTGCTATGTAAGCCATTGTGGCTCGACTTGATATCGCTTGCAAAATATTGCTATGTAAATAATGGGCCACGAATAGATCTGGGAAAAAGCAAGTCTGCAGATAATCCACATAAGCAATAAGCAATGGGGAAAGCTAATAAATTGCTATGGGCTTGCTTCCATCGAAAAACATCCATTGGACTACTTGCAGATATGCCCAGAACAGGCTTTTCTGTAGAGCTGATCGTAGTTGATTTCCTAGGCAGATGTGGACCACACAGCCAAAACTTACTCTGAGAGCCCAACTTTGAAGTGCGCTTGCCTCAGAGAAACTCACCTGAGGCCAGTCAGATATGAACATTTTCAGATCACATTGTCCATTCTTGGACTATTGAAAGATCCGACACGTTTACATAGCTGAAGTCTAGGCAACTTCTATTCAAAAAAAAAAAAAAAAAAAAACAAAAAAAGTTAGTTTTTCTCATGGGAATCATTTGTTGTGTTATCTACGATCCATGAACAAATTGTAATTGTATTTTGAGTTTTGCTTTAGAAACTATATAATTGCAAGCGAAATAATTGTAAAGCTATTACAGACATTCATAAAACTGTAAAAATAAGGTGTGAAAGTAATGTAATAAATAGTGCACTGAACGCGAATAAATAGGTGTAATGGCGTGTTTGGGCTTTGGTTGTTTAGTTTCTGAGAGAATTGGAGATTCAGTTGATGGCGTTTAATGACGTCCGGTCGCGATGTCAACAGCGCGAGCCATCTGAAAAATCGAATGCAGAGTTGAGTACACGTGACAGACTGGCCCTGAGCTGAATACACACCTGAACTGTACGATATTAGGCGCCGGCAGTTGCCCCGATGGTCTCTCATGTGGCACTTCTGGCAGGGTTTCTCCAGGCCATGCGTGGCCAGTATCTGGCCCCGGGCAATGCCGGGAGGCGCGAAAAAGATCACACGGCGCGATTCGCCCGGTGCTGGGGCACAGAGTACGACCAGAAAGAGTAGACAAAGTGCATACAGAAGTAACTGATGGATGCGATGCAGCATCATGATCTCGCTCTCTCTTGGTCTCTCTCTCTCTCTCTCTCTCTCTCTCTCTGTCTATCTCACTCTTGTAGCTCCGATTCCGTACACTTTCGTGGCAATGTGAAATTGTGTAATCGCTATTGGGGGTTCGAGTCTTTGGCCCGTTCTACTGGCAATTGAGTTATACGCTCTAACGCCGTCATTTAACTGATTATATACGATTTGGGCAAGCAGTTCTTAAATAAAAGTGGCCTCTGCCTGCCAGCCGAGCATAGGCGACGTCTCAAAATTGATAAACTATACAGGCTACACCAGCGGCCGTTGTGGCGCCGTCATCTGTCGCCCTTACCACCGGGCTGGGCAACACCCTGTATGTGCAAATCTTATCTGGGCGTTGCTACTATGTCACCCACAATCTGGGTAATTGGATGGTTTGCTTTGCTTTACTTTGCTTTGCTTTGCTTTGCTTTACTTATAAAATATAAATGACAATAAAATCAGTGCACGAAGCCCATCTTCAGTTTAGATATCGATGTATACATAAAAGAGGCTTATCGTCTGACTTATTTGATAAACTGTATCTAAACATAGAAGCTTTTGGCATCACACAGATCCTCTAATTTATATGAGCTGAAACTTATATTTCGTTGGAGCTGCTAAGGAGTTGCTGATCCAATAAGAAAGAAGCACACAGCGAGGCAATACCCATCAACGAAGTATCAAATATGCATATGCGTCCAATAAGACAGCTGTTCTGAGTCCAATCAGTTCCAATAAAAGCTCTCAGCAAATAAATATTTTCCTTAATTTTTCTCTGCACTCTACGAGACGCTGTTAGACATCTGACTCTATAATTCTTATAAAATAATTTGTTAAATTTAAATAATAATTAAATTCCCAACTGAAATGCTCTTTACTTCTTCTGCTCAGCAGTTAGATGCGTATCATAGGTTCAATATGTCATCGATTGTTGCAGCTAATATTAAGTGTTTCCGCCTACGTTTCAGGCCTCTATAATATAAATTATTAATATAAAAAGCTCAGCAACTTTCTGCTCAAGATAAATCAAATAAAATTGCTTACGCCTTGAGTCGACTTGAAGATACCCTGTAGAAGACTCAAACAGCATTGCTTCGTTTTAAATAGAATTGTCCAATCATAACAGAGCTACATCTTGTCAATGGACCCTCTTTGCTCAAGGGTTTCATTGACTATAAAAGCCAAGTTCTAACCTCTAGTGTCGTTAGTGCTATTTCCTCTAGTCAGTAAGCGAAAAGGCTATACTTAAACCACTTCTTCTACTTCATGCCTGAAGGCATACTCTACCAAACAAGACTTCGCACGACTTAATCTCAATCAATAGCAAGTTAAACAGTCTCATAATGCCACCAAGAGTAGCAAAATCAATTTGAATTTCATTTATTGAATATAATATTTGCTATATAATCAAGAGTATTCTAAATATATACAAGATTTTCAATATTAATTTCGCTATAACAAGTCAAGTTTAGGTGCCTTAGTTTAATTGGGCAAAAGGAATAGCTGCCTAAGGAAAGGGGCTATATATTATAATCTATTTAAGGAAAGGTATATACGATGTAAAGAAAATTCTATCAAATTAAATTTAGTATTGTGCGTGGCTGCTGCTTATCGATAAATATCGATCTGATAGCTATTGTATAGATAGACAATCGCTTAACAGATATGATATAGAGGGTATGCCTTTGACGGATACTGTCAGCCAGATTAAATAATCTTGTTTATATTTTTGATCGCCTAACAAGGCAACAGAAAGCTGGTTGAGTAGTAATCAGTAATTGAAGATATGTTTTCCATATAAACACACACATGTGCCAGGCAGCGTGATCGAATTAAGATATTTAGAGGGGATCACCGCTGACAGACTTTGGGGATTTCTTGGGCACAGATTGTGGGCTGTAGAAGTGTTCCGTTAACAGAATGAGTCGCTATGCCATAATCGATGTAATCAACTGCAGTCGTCGCCTCATGGCCTCATGGCTCATGGCTCATGGCTACGTCACAGAGCAGCTGCTATGACAGCATGTTCCGAAAATTCCGAAAAATGTGACAATGGCAGCAAATTCTCTAATATCGATTTGAAAGCAAGCGGTTGAGTCAGCGCTGCACGGTTCCTTTATCTAAGAAAAGTTTCTATCTTGTAGTTGTGTATTTAGTATCTGCACTGGTATCTATAGAGTGTCTGGCGCTGTTCGCAGTTCGCTATTCGTGAAATTTCTCGTAATTTCATCATGACTGTAGTCTTGTGACGTCGTTCTTCTTTCCTTTTTTTGTTGTACAAACATAATATAATTGTTAAACGCTAATGAGTGTTGGATAAGCGATAAGGTAACGAGCCCCGTCCAAAGGTCGCTACACAATCTGAAATACCAAGCGAATCAATTCATGAAAATGCAAAATTCCCAGCTAGTGGCCTCAGCCCTGCCTGACTGTGTGTGTCACTTACCCGGCGACAGCGGTTATGGTGATCATACATGTATCCACGCCTGCAGCCGACGCGTCGTGACTCGAACAGCATGCCCTTGCCCAGCGTGACGTTCTGCTCCGCTTCCATGCTCTGATTGCTGTTCAGCGCATTAAAGTAAATCACGCGTGCTGCACTGCTCTGCAGCAGGGACAGCATCAGCAGGCCCCAGAGCAGACCGAACACGGCCAGCCGCCACAGGAGTCCAGAGCGCAGCAGCATCTTCTTCGTCTTAAGCTAACACGTCGCTGTCTGACCACCGTTTAGCACGCACCCAGAATCTAGATTCGATATGGACGTTGTTGCTGACACGCTCAATCTGTGTGTCTGCGTTGCGAGCTCCCTTCGCAGAGTTCGTTGAGTCGCTTATCAGTCTGTTTACAGTTAAGAAAACACTTTTTATACATTGCTCAGCCCATCCAAGCAGGTTGTATTGGCTTGCTGTCAGAGACTCAATAAGCCGATAGCTTAAGGCTGCAGACTTTCACTAAAGCCAAGCAGAGCCATCTGCTTCAGAACTATATCTGAGGGCTACTGGTTTGCCACGCCTACTCTAAACAGAGAGCCACATTCTGCTGCCCAAACTGTTATTCGAGTCTGAACAGCGTAGCCTGTAGTCGTGTGGACTCTTTGGCCACGCTCTTGCTTTTGCCTATTTCGATTAGAAACCCGCCGTCAGCCACGACACTGCGCAATTGATAATTTCTATTCCATTGCATACTTTTCGGCAGAAAATTTACAGCGAGACTAAAGGTTAGAATAAGGGCGATAATACGTCTCAGCAAACAAACTCTTTTTTGCTTAAGTAATACGTTGCTTATGTTTAAATATAAAACATTAATTGAAACAAAAGAGAAAAGCATATATAACCAATGGTTGTTTTACTCAGTGTTACACAAGTTTAAGTCATACTAAAAGACAGAAATGTATTTTTAATATTAATGAAACGAGCTGTTTTATATATAAAACCTTATGACATTTATGTTTAAATATGACTTCCGCTATGTGATTCAATATGATACACTAATTTTCACAGTCATTACAGTGACGTTCGGTTCGGTAGAGAGTTAAGCCAATGACGCCGTCAGCCCATAAACCGCACCAAACACTAATTTTCTGTGGATCGAATGCTGTTTCAGCAAAAGCCCATGAACTGTTCTCACTTCTGTCTGTTTTCCTCAAGCTGAACCTAGAATAGGCAATTTGAATGCCATACAATGGATGCATGATAAGTGCCAAATAGCTGCAACAATTAGCAATTGTTGATTGAGAATAAATCTACTTACTAAAAAATGTCAAAGCAAATTAAATAAATAGAAATTAATAATAATTAAATAATTTATGAGATAAAATTTATGAAAAACAAGTGTTGTTAACTGCAAGTTGTAGAGCTCTAAAAAAACACCCTCTACATACAGAGACAGCGACCTGTCGTCAAAGTACAACATTGTATAAACAGCCCAAGTCAAAACTATTTACAGAATTACATATGTTTGCAGGTTTCCCAGGCAATTTTTGTCCCAGGTGTTTCAAGATGTTATATACTCGCTCTGTGGGACAAGTTCGACACTGAAAAGCCAATTTCTAGCTTCATTGGCGGGTATTAAGATCCGCAGAGCAATTTATATTTTTAGGGAGGCAAGCAAACTCTGTGCGAATACTTTTGACAGCTACTATACATCTGTTGATCTTCTGCAAATGTTGTCCAATCAAATTTTAAATTATTTGATTAACAAAGTTTGTGAAACGTCATTTAATTTAACAACAATAAAGAAAACCCACATCAATTGTAAGTCTAAAAAAAGTTTGTTGTATACATACTTTTGACTAGAACTGTTATCTGTTTGTATTGCTTTGTTAATAATACTAGTGGTAGAGGTTGTAGCTATACATATATAGATGTATGTAGCGGAACCAAGTGGGTCGCCTCATCAATAAAGAATGATCCATCTTTGGCGACGGGCTTAAGCACGTTTATATATATATATATATATATATATATATATATATATATATATATATATATATATATATATATATATATATGGTAGTTGAAATTGAACTGATAAAACCGGTAAACATCTTCATAATGCAGTAGATCCCTTCATCTGTTAGCTCACTTAGCCCTTCTGATGGTCAGAAGTAGTTCAGATCAAAATCTATATAAAAAAGTAGACGTTTAACTGAGTTCCTGAACCAAACTCTTAACACAGGTATGCAACAGGTAAATCAGTTAAAAACTTAGTCTAACAGTCGTCGCAACGCCAGCTATGTCTGGCCACGTCCAGCTGTTTCGCTCTTTGTTTTGTTTTTGAAACGTTGACGTTGCGTATACGTAACATAATTTATATATTCTCGTCGATCATACGCCGCTTTGCATGGCTTATATTTTTCTTTATTTGTATTAATTTACATAGAGTTGGCTTTAGAGAGCAAAACCAAAACAAAGCAGGAGGTGAGCTATGTAGGCATGTGTATATATATATCAGTAGAAGACATCTCTATGTACATGTGGGCATATTTTTGTGTAGTCGGTCGATGAGGTCAGCGCTGCGTCGCGCAAGGCTCCGCTCGAAATATGCAGTTGCCTGGATCGACTGTGATAAGCTCTAAGAAACAAGAAACCAGAAAGAGGAAACAAGAAACGAGAAAATAACGGAAATAGTTGAGCTGTTGGGCGAACAGGTTTGTAATGCCATTCAGTGCTCACCTGGCGCGGCCAAATGCTTGCCGCAAGCGCGTTTACCACGCCTGCAACGCGAGTGCCTCGCTAATTGTTTGTGGCCCTGGCCTTGTGCATCCGCGTCCTCGTCGGATGTTAATAGCGGCGCCTCCCGGCAGCGCAGCTGCGACTGATGACGCCTGTGCGCCGTGACCTGCACGTCGCTATCCGCGGGGCCTTTGCCCTGTTGTGCCAGCACGTTCTCGGTGGAGGAGTTCCGCTGCCGACGGCGGCGCTGCCGCACCCGACTAAAGCTGTCGTCCTGGATGACGAGCGTGCCCGCCTTGCTGCTGCGTAGATAATAGCGTGGCCTGTGCTCCAATGTCTGCTCCTGGGCATACTCGGGCGACGAGTGGCGGCCGCGCGTCATGCTAAACCGCTCCAGAATCGAGTGCTGGCCAGAGCTGTGCGAGCGTCGATAGCGACGCTTCTCCCGTGGTCCGGACGATGAGGAGTTCGCTGTCGTGGTCAGCGTCGACGTGGACGGCGGCGTCGGATAAGCCGATTCCTGTGCCCGCTGTGTCGGCGCTGGCGCCGACGCCTGAGGCTGATCCTCCACCACGAGCCGCACGCCGCGCAGCGAACTGGAGCGTCGCGAGCTGTCCACCTCGTGCGGCTGCCAGTCGGGCAGCTCGTGGGTGCTGAAGTCAATGCAGCTGCCTGCCAGCTGCTGTCTTGTTGGGGAGTGGACGGGTGTGTGTGTGTCGCTGGCCGATGCCTCGTTAATGCTGAGGCCATTCAACTTGCCAGCAAGTCGCGCCTGCTGCAGGCTCCTGCCGAGACTGCTCGCCGCATGCTTGCGCCTGCAGTCCTGAGCGCTGCTGGGCCGATAGGCCTGCTCGCTGTACCCATCCGCATCCAGTAGAAGCGCGCCCGTGTGATCGTACAGCAATATTCTGGGCAGTGCTATGTTGCTGCAGCTACGCGATGTGCTCAGCTCCCAGTTCCAGTGATTGGGCTTGCGCAGTTGCAGTCGCAGCAGATTGGACAGGGGATCGTAACGATCCTGCTCTGGCTGCTCATTCTGCTCCTGCTCCTCGTAGTCAGACGTGGACTCTGTATACAGCTCTTGCTGCGGCTGCCGCTGCTTTGACATTGCTCTTGGCTGAAGCAGCGCTGGCAGCTGCTGCACATGAGATGCTTTTGTTGATGATTCCACCTGTTTGCTGTCCGTTGTGCGATGAGCCAGCCAGAGAGTACGCGGCTAGCGTTTTTCCTGGTCGCCCTACGCCCTGGCGAGCTGCCAATTTATTGTTTATCTCAGCTATGCTAACAATTATACTATATATATATGTACGAGCTATATGTATGTGTATGGCTTGCTGTCCGTCTTCACTGTGTGCGTAAGGTTTATATGTATGCAATAAAGGCGTTCTTTCTTTTTGTTTCTTTTTACTCCTGCCCACGCGTCGCGTTCTTGGATGCTTTCATCTCTGTGCTCTTAGTATGTGGGATGTATTTTTAGTAGGCATTCAGTGCCGCTACCTGCTGCCGCTTTCTTTCCCGTGACATTTAGGTGTGCCACTTTCAACAATAACAACACACGACACAATAACAACAACAAATTCGTATGCACCTTCAAACACAGTTTCATTCAATTTGTGTAACAAAAAAAGAACAAAAAACACGAGCAAAAAAAAAACAAAAAAAATAACAAAATATTTTTAGCACTGAGAGCGAGTTGCCCGTCTCGCTCGAACGCACGGTCGCAGCGAACGCTTCGCTCTCTCACAGCCAAGTTGCTAGTCGTAGCGCTGGCCCGCTCTCAATGTTGCCCTCTCTCTCGATTCTGTGCGATCAGCTGGTCGGCGGGGCTCGTGTGTGAAGCGCGTCTGCCCGCCAGCGAAAGCAGCCACCAACTGCTCGAAATGCTGCCCCCAAGAACTGTCCGGAGCATCGATGCTCTATCCGGCAATTCGGCCAAGTGGGTGGAGAAGCAGCCGGGGGCATATTAATTTAATGCCGCAGCGACTTTGCGTCTTTCACGCTCTCACACAATGCCAATGCTGGCTGGCTGCTGGGGCAGCTGTTTTCCTACAAAGAACAAAATAAGTAAAATTAAAAGCTTTTCATACTCTGTCCGAAATGTGAATAAGACTGTTGTATTGGCTGAGTAGCCAGCTCTGTTTGTCTCTGAATCGCAGAAGTTAATGAGCTTTGAGTTAATTGTAATTAAAATATATATATATTCTATAATTAAATAGAGTTGAAATTGAGCAACGTCTCTCTGCATGGAGAACAGAGCATTGACTAGTCGATTGCAACCGACTGCAGCACTCATATATCAAATATTTGTATACCCTGTATACGAGCTTATCAGGCCTTATCATTCTGCAGCAATGGCCTAGTCCATAGAGACTACAGCAGACTTTAATAAATTTATTTTAATCACTAATCAATGAATTTAATGTATTTATTTTCGAACAGAATTATTTTTGATTTTTGCCAAAAATATATATAAAATTGTTGTCATGGTATCTTCTAGTCGGTGCCAATCGACTATGCGCTTATTTGCTTATTTTTTATTGCTTTCTCCAACGTATAAACTGATCAATTTTTCGATTCACGCTAAATAATCAAAATGCAAAAGCATGAAGTATATATCTTTATATATATATGTGTATCTATATATCTTGTCTGATGGATTCGAATTGTTCTCGAAATATGTATATTTTTCGAATACATTAGAGAGTGCAGCTATTGCTTAAAGGTCAGCTATTCAATAGACACGCCAATCATAGCCACCTAATGCACTCTTGACAGCCAACGGCCCACTCGATGGCCATGCAATGAGTTGACATTTGAGGGAAGCAGACAATTGTTCTTGTGCTACTTGGGCGCTTGGGCAATGCGATCAACATAATGCAACACGATTCGCTTGACTTAAATTTAATTGCAATGTACCCTGTATCCAATGAAGGGTAGGGTGGTATGATGTTCGAGCTGCAAGTGCGAAAGTCTAGAGAATATGAGTAAGTGAATATAGATTGTTCTGATTATATTGAATTATTTAGAATTGGCTATAATAATTGGCCAATTCTTTATTACAGAAATATGAAATTAAAGAGAGAGGCCTGTCGATCCCCTATATAATTCGAAATAAACTATTTTCGAACAGCTTTTAAGCTGACATTACTCATTGACTCCTTGATCCGTGCGAGTATTCGGCAGTCGGTTATGCCCTGTAGACTGCTTGTAGATCGCTTCATATGACCTCTTCAAGTTTGGCTAATACGCTTTTCGGTTCTGCATTTGTTGCGACTCCCTTGGCTCATTAAAGGTAAGGGCTAAGAGCTATGGACTGCGCTAGGTTAAGTTGAGTTGAATATAATAAGACGTCAGCCCAAAAGTATGCACTGGCTTGCATATGGTGTGAGCAGTTGTGCGGGGTCAATAGGTTATCGGAGTGAGTGTACTGGTCCACGGTAAGTCTGATAAGCAGGCGAAACGGTGTGTTTCAGTGTTTAAGTCAGTGTTAAACGTACTGCAGCAATGGCAAAGCAGGCTAATTTTGTGGGTCTAATGCTGCTCTGCGGCTGTGCCCTGTTCCTTGAGTCGGCGGCATACCCGGCCGATATACCGCCGAATCCTGTCCAGTATAGGCGCACTGTTCGTCACCGGCCGTCCGCCAAGCATCCCGAGCTGGAGGTGTATGAGGTGCGGGAGATTTTCGTCGTGCGTCGCCCAACGCCGCCGACCAAGAAGATCAAACAGTTGAATGACATTGAAATGGAGGAGCGCATACTGTGCGACTTTCAGCCCACATTGCCAAACTGTGAGTAGGGCAGCAGCAACTAAGGGCTGTGACGTCTTTTGACTTTTTCATTTACTTTGCTTTTACGGCAGGCGCCAAATTTCGCACTAATCCGGTCAGCAGTTGGCGCAACGACAGATTACCAACATTCACATCAAGAAGAACTACGACTACAACGGATGCCACAACGACTAGTAGCACCAGCACCACCACCACCACCGCTGCCCCCACCACCAGCGACCTGCCCTTCCTGCCAGAGCTGCCCAGCCTGCCGGACGGGTCACCTGAACTGACAACGGTGGCCAACGAAGAGAAGGACTATGAGCAGAAGGAAGACACGTACGACATTAACTACGACGAGCAGGACAACGAGGATGTGGCTGACGACACAGAAAATGAAACCGATCTGGATTCCACAGACTATCTAAATCCCAGCGGCAGCATTGGCGGCAACGATATGACCAAATAAAGCCCATCCTCGATAGCTGCTGTTTGCCAATTATTTAATAAGCTCAACACGAATTTGATTAATCTCTATATATATATGGATTTGTATGGAGCAATGCCACCATGCATATGTTTACCCCAATCAATCATGTGTAATCGCTGACAAGGCAAGACAAGGCGATGCAGTTGACTTCTTTAGACTTTTCGACTATATATATTACCTGAGTCGAAATTTTATACTCTACGATTTTAGCGTATTATCAATATAATTAATGATTTCAGAATTATTTAACCGTCTTATTTCTTTATGCAACATTAGAAGAGCCTTATCTGAAAATTTTATGTATGGACTTACAAGGCAAAATTACCTGACTGAGTGACTTCGAAGAATTCAAGAATTCTTAGCTGGGAATCAGAATTTTGTATTCGAATTGTCGACTTTACAACATATTCCAATTCAGAATATGAGTCAGAAAGTTATATTAATGAAAATTAAATGCAGAATACGTATTTAAAATAGTTTTGTTTCTGTTAAAAATTGTACCTATTCAATTAGGCAGACGTTACGCAATCGGTTATCAGTTGGTCTAGAACTTTGCGTCCTTGAAACGATTATAAATAATTGAAAAAGCTTAGCTCGACCAAAATACTAATAGCTTGAGCTAGGCATCTGATAAGCACATCACATCACAACCCGAACCAATGTGTTACAAGGTAGACTCGAAATGTATAACTTCAAATAACTAAATATTTTTCAATAAAAAAAATATATTTTTAAAATATGGTTTTTAAATAAATATATTTTTTTTAAATAAGTACAAATTTGATGTAGAAATAAAAAAAAATTAATATTATTAAAATATATTGTTTCGTAAAAGATGTGAGTTTTTTCTTCAAAAAAATTATTTTAAAATTTTATAAATATAATTTCTACTAACCTGTTTGTTTTATATCAATAAAATAAATTAATAAATAGGTTATAATTATATTTTCTAAGCAAATATTTTTCTATATAAAAAAAAATTTTAAATATATTTTTAAAAAAATATATATATATAAATTTGATAATTTATTTTATTTGCTCAACAAACAATTTTAAATTATTTATTAAATATTAAATTAAGTAAATCAATAAAAGTGAATAAATATTGTTAATATATATTTTTCCAAGAATTATTTTTTATAATTTAAATAAAAATGTTATATGGACTTAAAATATTTTTTTTTTTAAATAAATATTTTTTATATAAAAAAAATTATATATTTTTTTAATATATTTTCTTAAATATTTTTTTTGCCAGCAAGGTACTGACAAATAAATCTCTTTATGCATTAAATCGATTAAAAGTGGATAAAAAAGTTTTGCAAATTGACTCTGCACGCGTTGTGTATGCCCGATCTCTTATTATGTAACGAATATTGTTTATATATGTTTGTGATCTGCCAAACAAAGGAATTCAATTAAGAAACTGTAAACCCCTTGCAATACAAGCTTCGACTTTTCCCACTATCCCTGTTGACTAGTAGGGAATGAAATCAAATGTCAGCAAATTCGGTATTTAGATTCCTGTGATCAATAAAAAGATTTTGGATCTTTGCTGTAGAAACTGCGCAGTTTCATGAATTGTTGTGTGCTTCGGTGTATGTATATTTGTATACAAGAATGATTGAACTAGCAGCGGGATTGGGGTATCATCTAATCGTGCCGATTAGAGCACTCATAATTGCTTGTTGTTTATGCGAGCTGTGCTCCGAGTTTATCGCATTGAAAACAGGAAAGTGACAAATGAAATGTGAGTGCGTAAGCACAGCTTAGAAAGATATATTCGATGATTATCCCAGCCGAACATCTATGTGTACATATACATATCAATGGCTGATACTCATGCTAGATGCTCTACAATGCCTTATCAGGGCACAGTCGCAGACTCGAGCCATAGTTAAAGCAGAGAATTCATTAGGTCTATTTGGCATGTCTCTGCGTATTTGGATAGCTGAGATAAGGTTGTATATAGTAGATACGAGGCGGCAGACTTGGTTGACTGAGATCAGGTAGTCTCTAAGCTGAGGCATATTTGGATACTGAAAAATCGCAGCTGGAAATAAACTGGCAAGTGGGAAGCACTCTTTATTGTTATTAGGCTGTTGTTGTTGCCGCTGAGTCTGTAATTGAATTTGCACTTATGAATTAAGAAAAGCGAACAAGCGAGTGCTAGTGCGAGTACGAGTGCGACTGCGACTCGGCGTCAGCCAATAAATTAAATTAAGCGGAAAGGCGAAGGCATATGGGCAACGACCAAACTAACAATCAAACAAATGGCGACAATTTTTCACAAATAACGGGGCTGCCTTGTTATGCGATCGCCATTGTTGTTGCTGCGGCTGCGGCTGCGACTGCTGCTGTGGCCTTTATTTATATTGCTATTACTGTGCCTCTACTGCCATTATCGAGGGAGTAAATAAAACGCGTGGACAGTCCTCGCTCGCAGTCAGTCAAGAGAAGTGAATTGTCGGGTTCAGTTGGGAAACGGGCGCCTCAGGAACTAATCGACAGCTGGAATATACATAGAGTTTACTTACAAATAAGATAACGGCAATCAGCATGCGTCAGTTATATGCAATTAGTGTGTTGGCAGTGCTCCTGCTCGGGATCGCCCATAGCCGTGCCGATCTGCTGGACTGCGAGGACAAAGTGCCCGCCGTGCTAAGCGAGATCGGCGATAAGTTCTCGGAGATGACGGGCAGCAGCAGCAGCTCGGAGCATGAAGTGCGCGACTTCTTTAAGAATGTCGGCTGCCAGATCAAGAAGGGCGCCAAGAAGCTGGGCGAAAAGGCCAAGGACCTGGGCAGCGAAATCAAGGAGGGCGCCAAGAAGCTGGGCGAGCGCGCCAAAGACCTGGGCACCGACATCAGCGATCGCATCGCCGACTTTCGCGATAAGCTAGCCAAAGACTCGGCTGAGGACTTGAGCAATGACCGCGGCTTCCTAGCCAACGTCGAGATCATCAATCCGGACCTGCTCAAGGGCGAGCAGCAGTGCGGCCACGGACACATTCTGGATGCCTTGGGCAACTGCAGCAAGTTAAGGAAGTGATGCAGCCCCACGAAGTCGAATTTTCTTCTTTTTTTTTTTTGTGTTTATTATTATTTTTTTCTGTTTTTTTTTCTAAGTAAAAATAAAAGCAATCGCTTTAAAATATAAAATGTTTTCAACATTTTACTTAGTCATCTTAGCTTCAAGACTGGATTTGTCTGTTGACACGACGAATTTCTCGAGGATTATACGATCTAAAGAAATCATGCCAAGCTAGATGCTGGGACAGAGTATTTCCTAGTCGAGCACATCAATTCGTTCATCTAAGTTGAGTTTCCGATTTTTGCAGATGTAAAACATAAAGGAAAATTATGCATTTGCCGTACTTAGGCCACTTGCGCGTTGCCAATTGAATATAATTTAAGTGTTACAGGGTGCTCGTTCTCAGGCCTATTAGTCATTCCAATCGATCATAAATGAGGTCGGCATACCTAGCTGAAGCAGAATTAGAGAGTCTTGAGTGTATTTGACTTGCAATCCCGCCAGACTTCCCTTTGTATACTCTGCTCCACAGCAAGCCGAGTATATTGGTTTCGGGTAAAGCAAATAGTCTCGACTAGTTCGATGCAATAATTAATTTCTTGTATATATTTTGAGCTAGGATCCTGCCTTTAGCTTTAGGCAGCTTTAGGCCAACTGTCGTTAGCGTCGTAAGCGGACTTTCGGAACAGCGTGTTGCCTCGTCAGTTGCACCCGATTTGAAAGTTCTTACTTGTTTGGTCTGAGGAATACATATGGCTGGCGTCTTACTGGCTTGACGACTTTCTTAAAAAGCTTGCCACCGACCGATCTGTGGCTCATCTGCAGTCGAAAGCCGAACTTGGTCGAACGGCCATGCCTTTGCTGCTGGCTGCAAACAAGTTTCAGTCAGGTTTTTGGTCTCAGTTGCTGCACACGCCACAAGCCAGACAAGCGTCTGTGGCAGACACAACTACGTTTAAAGCAATTATTAGCGACTTTAAAGAAAACTTAGGAGCACTTGGAATGATGACGCAGACGCGGATACTACTGCTTTTCCTGCTATCGCTCTGCATCGGGCAGCTGCAGGCCGCGCCCATCATCTGCGGATCAGATGCCCAGGCCAGTGTCAAGTCGACTGACGCCGCCGAGGTGACACCCAAGCCCAACGAGGTGAATCAGTTTCTGCACAATGTGCAGTGCACTCTGGAAAAAGCCAAGCCCTGGATCGACGACCTGGAGACGGAGGCCAAGCGCCTGGAGGAGACAGCCAAGCGCGTCGGCCTAAGCATCGTGACTCGCTTTGGCGATCTCATAGACACGCTGCTCGGCACAGTTGGCGACAGGAAGCGCATAGCTAGCGCTGATTCCGCTAAGATCACGACCCCAGCCACGCCCAGCGAAAACCCAGAGCGAGACGTGGTACCGGCTACCGATTTGGAGCTTGGACAGGTGACGCATTCCACAGAATCGCCAACAAATGGCCTCGCTCCCAATGAGGCGGAGAATGAAATTACAAATGTTGAGCCACTCAAGTAGACGCGCCTGCCCCAGCGAATTTATTTATACCTATAGTATATACCCATATATTTATTTATCTAGTTTTAGATTACCGCTAATGAAATGTACTCGTAGTCTTGGATGTCATACGGTGTGAATCACAAACAATAACATGATTTTTTTTTTGATAAACGAAAAATAAAGAGCGATAAAGAGATACCCTCTACTCATGCTTTACTATAAATATCTATACATATATTCATTCATGATGATAAACAATTACATACATACATACATAATTATATAAATCAATGTACGAGACAGAGACTTACATAGGCAGGAGACAGGGAAATAGACATAGACATAGACAGAGAAGAGACAGAGACATATCAGAGACAGAGTAACATAGACAGATAAGATACAGGACAGGAGACAGGATACAGCAGAAGAGACAAGAAACAGATACAGAGAAAGAGACAGATAAGAGACAGAGACAGAGACAGAGACAGAGACAGGCAGAGACAGAAACATAGAAGAGACAGAGAACAGTAGACAAGACAGAGGACAGGAACAGAGACAGAGACAGGAGACAGAGAATGAGACAAGAGACAGAGAAGAGATAACAGAGACAGAGAAAGATCAGATACATATACATATACATACATAGACATATACATTAAAATTATACAATATTACATATACATATACCATATACATATAATATACATTACATATCTATACATATAAATATACATATACATATACATACACATACACATATACATATACATATACATATACATATACATATACATATACATATACATATACATATACATATACATATACATATACATATACATATATAAATACATATACATAGATCTTTCCGATAGTGATACAATATTTCAGCATTAAACAGCGCCATCTGTGGGGTTTAGGTTGAACTTCATCAATCAAGCACAACAAATATTGAAGATCTATGGGTCAGTCTTAGCATAAGACGTATTTGCTAACATCGATAGTCGAACCGATATTGACCTGTCCTCAATGTCACTTCTTAAGCATTTCAAGTGGTTCGAGAGCCATTTGCTTGCTTCGGTCTATGGTGAATGAATGTTTCGAAATTGTTGGATTTCTCTCGTTAGCACTGCTAATCATTTATTTGGGTTTCTAAGCATTTGCAACAGGTCAGCTCGTTTTATTCTGAAAGAGACACTTAAGAAGATAAGCCCTAGTTGGCATTCCCAGTAAGCAAAGCTTGTATATATACATATATAAATATAAATATATATATGTTAGATATGTGTGTACGATCGAAGCTGTCGGGTCTCTTAATTAGTGAGTGTTGTGAAGTGAAGGTTTGTCGGAGAGCGGGACAACTGGGGGCAGTTCCCCGAAACGCTGATAAACCGGTATGGCCCGCTAATCGGAGCTTCGCTGTGCGATTGTGAGTCAAGTTTTGCCACGCTCAGTCGTATTGCCAAGCTCGTGGAAAACAGTTCAGCAATAAACAAACGTTAAAATGAAAACAATTGTCATCTGCTGCTCGCTGCTCTGTCTGGTGCTGTTGAGTGGCCAAGCGCGCGCCGCCGACTGCGACGAGGTCAAAAATCCAGACGACAGCGATTTCAAGAACTTCTTCAAGAGCATCGGCTGCAAGGTGAAGCAGGGCGCCGAGGACGTCGCCGATGCGGCCAAGCCCTATACCGATAAGATTGGCGAAGGCGCCAAGGAATTAGGCAGTTCCGTTGTCGAGAAGTACAAGGAGCTGAAGCAACGCCTCACAGACGATGCCTCCACACCCAAGAGCCCTCTCGCCGTCCAGGTCGACGCTCCCACGGAACGCGTGCCCCTGGCGCCCATCGCTCCAACCGTGCCAGCGGACGTTGCGAGCAATGCTCAAGCCATTGGCAAGTCCTGACTCAAATCATGCTCACACCAAAAACAATAATCGTTTCTTCTTTCACCTTGCAGCTGGATAAGCATTACCCAAGGCAAATACCATTATTACAGGACTTGTTTTTGGCTTACCTTCATCTTGTTTTTTTTTTTTTTTTTTTATATTTGTTAAACAAACAAACTTGAATCTGTGTGAATTTCTATTTGTTTATATAAAATTCGTGATTTCTTAGTTAAGATCAGCAGCAGCGTGACCTATACACATAATGAAGCTTCATCAAAACTGATTGCTCCAAAAGTTATCAAATGATCAAAATAGAACTGTTTCATTTACCTAATTTGTCTAATTTGTTAATAAAGCTCAGTTAATTACGTCCAATATTGATGTGTTAGACTTCGAGTGAATTACTGCTCGAGAATCTGTATTAAGTGTTTCTAGACTAGATTTTAATTACTGATCGATTTTTGATAGATTGGCAATCGTCTAAAGATCGAGTAGCGATGGATAAGGTGAGATAGTTTTTAAAGAGTGAAATATTCTTCTCTGCATATAGCAGCTTGAATCTAGAACTGTTGTTAGAAAAAGTCATATATTGAACAGCGCTGTACTGCTGATCGGTTTTCGACTATGGATCGATCGATATGTTGATATTGTTGTCCAGTCTGTTTGGTGATAATTTCTTATGTAGATTTGTTGCCTAAAGAAAGCGTATATCGATCCGCAATTCACTAATGATTGACGATCGAATGGTTATGTTCATATAGTCGTCCAGTCTGTTTATAGTTTCTTAATGAGTGCAATAGTGTTCTCTTTGTACATTGGCTTCAATCTAGAAAGAAGCCAGAAGAAAGCATATATCGATCAGCACTTGACTATTGATTGGTGATCGATATAGTGATATGGTCGTCCTGTCGTTTGGTAATACTTTATTTAAGCTTCAATCTAGATTTGTTGCCTAAAGAATGCATATATCGATATCATATATCAGCACTAATGATTGATGATCGATTTAAGATCGACTGGTATCGATATGGTGACATAGTCGTCCAGTCAATCTAGTTATTGTTTCTCACAGAGGACAATATTCTTCTTTATTATTAATCGATCAGCACTTCACTATATATTTGTTTTGCTGTAAGTAGACAAAAGAAGGCAGCTCAGATCATGCAAGGCACATACAGTGATATCTATGTATATAGATATTTAGATTCATCACATAAGAATAGAATTGTAAATACAGATTCTACAGAAATGGTTATATATTTATTCTACATTTCCCACTCAGGTAAAGATTTGCTTAGTTATTAAGGCAAAGGTCAGAGCATAAGGTCAGGTAATGCGAATAATTTACTTATTGAAATCGATGGCTTATCGAATATCGCATTGCAGTCATCTGCATCTATTTTTGCTATTGCGCACTGAATTGAAGCTGAGTGAAATGTTCTCACTTGTTATAGTTAATGTAATTCCTGTCGTTCCATTGTCAGTGGTTGTGCAACAGCTTAAAGTGTTAATTGGCTTTGCGTGATTTGATTGAATCGGGGTTTCACTATTTTGTAATCATATTTGCTGTGTTTCCTAAATGTTTTATTTTGCAATACCCTTTTCGCACTGCACACACTTCCGGGGGTCATTGTCTCCGTCACTGCGTTAGCCTTTAAGTTGCTTGAACAATAAAAGTGCTTGGCCTTAGCAGCTGAGTCAGTGGAGAAATCATTAATACGACCAATGTTAAGTGCAGGCTTAAATGTTGAATAGTCGATGGAATTGATTGCTGACTGATTGGTGAGTAAGCTTAAAAGGTGTTCCCAGAGTATCGGCCAGTCGATCACTGCTGCTTTGCACATCTTTAATGCTGCTTGATTGATGATAAAGTTTGAATTTATTCAAAGAGCAAAGATAAGCTTTACCTTAGCCATTCAACAGCCAGACTTGAGCTTGGGTTAGCAAAAAATGTTTCCAGAGTATCTGCTAGCCGATCACTGCTGCCTCACACATACTTATTCTGAGCTGAATGATTGATGAATAAGTTTTCTTGTTTATTTTTGTTTTTTATACTGATTTGGTTATGATTAAAGTTGCTGATTTTATTTGTAGCATTTGATGCTGTCAACCTTCAATTAGTTTTAATCGACACGATTCAACATACGCTATGCATGCAAATGTACATACATACACACATACATGCATACGTACGGACATACAGGCACATACACTTGCACGTCAAGTAATTACAGCAATTATAAGTAGTTTGTACAAATGCTGTGCGCATATGTTTGTCATGCTATCTGACAACCAAATAGTATAATTTGTTGTCAACACACATACGCATGTGTCTGTGTGTGTGCACAAAGGCTAAGCGTTTCGCCAGACTTAAAGCCACTACAAAAAAATATGACAACGTGCTAAAGTTCTCCAGTTTGCAAGCTTTAATATTTAATGTGCCATGAAATTAACAAGTGGACAAAAGCATAAACAAGTGATTCACATATAACACACACATACAAGTTGTACATGATTCATATAACACTTACATATCATTAAGTTTAATTGCTGCGACTTATGAAATGAAATGTTTGCTGCCCAAATTATGGACAACAAGTTGCAGCTATATATGTGATGGATGAGATCTTATGAACAGAAATTGATAAATTGAATCATGCTCATTCAGAGTACAGGAAAACGAAACATGAAACGATTTGCATAAGCGATGCTTGGATAAGTTTGGCATTGTGACTCAAAATAAAATGAGCTGAGATTACTACAAGTGCTCATAGAGTATCTGGCAGTCGGTCATTTCAGCTAAATATCATTTAGATCACAAAACCTTAAGGGCTAACGAGAGGCGAGGTCAATAGCGAACAGAGCCAGAAAAACTTTGGCTAATTTTGGCATTCAAACTTTGATCACTTCAGAGATTTCTTTTAGAGTTACACAAGTTGAAGCCGTAATAAAAGACAAAAATAAATTTTTAATATTAATTAAATGGATAAAATTGGCTAGAAGATGTCATGACATTTGTGTTTAAATATGATTTTATAGCTAGTCTCTACAAAGTGTAATTTGGCACAGCACTTATTAGAATCATGATAATCATCGCTTTTGTGAATGTAATGAGGTTTCGACAAAAGCATGTGTATTATGCCCACTTCAAGTGTCACACAAAATATGAACTTTAAATTTTTCTGTTCGCCATGAATTAGTCGAACTCTATCCATAAGAAAATGTCTAGCCAAACCCAACGAAAAACACCCATCAGCTATTAAATGGGCTGTTAAATAAAGCAGTGTTGGCAACTCAAACTTGACAGTCTCTAAAAAAAACACGCTTCAGCTATTTCTGATGAGCTACGCCTACAACGGATGTATATATATATATATATCTATTTAGTATATATAATAAGTATTTGTTAAACTTTGATACGCCAGCCTAACAAGTATCCGATGCCAAATATCTAGCTTCAAAACATGGCTCACAATGGACTAGAGAATATATGCAATATATATATATATATATTACAGTGATTCCCGACTTGCCACGCCTCTAGTGTACATTTCGAATCAGAGTTATAACAAAATATGTTGTCACCTAAGACGAAGGTACAAGAATCGATTGCAATTTTAAAGTCTCTAGCTTCAAAGGAGTCTGGGGGAGATGCCTGGACGTGCAATAAGCAAAGTCAATATATAAAATAACAGTATTCCCATAAATTGGAGGGATTATGTGGAGTATTCCCAACTGGGAAATGCACTTAGGCCAATATGGAAATTCCTTTGCATAAATATCATGTGACTCCATTAGCCGGACTTGACCTACGGATGAAAGCAGTTCCAAGTCGTATATCGGCGATGGCTTTTAACCTTTGGAGTGCTGTTGTATTTATACGAGAGCTTCTTTAGAAAAACGTCATAAATGACATAAACGAAATTAATTAAAATGATATACGTATGAAAAAATAGAAAACTTTGCCTCTTCTGCTGGTAATCGAAGCCTGACTTCGTGATTGTGCTGCTGCCGTTTGGGCAATGTAGTGGAAAAATAAGCTAAAACAAAAGGGACGATAAGAAGTTAGGACTTAGAATGACCGGCTCGCAGATGCCCTGCAGAACACTCACATAGTTGTGGGAAGCAGGATAATGTGAATGTGTGTGGAGGAGTTGAATCAAGTTGAACTTAGATATGGATTTGGATACATAATGAAAATCAACCGATTCGAATCCTAAGGAAATAAGTCTAAATGCAGCCCATCTATTTACAGGGTATAAATTCGGGCTCACACACAGCCACACATAAGAAGAGTGCGGTTCTTGTAAGGCTGTACATGTGCATAGACATAGACATACATATGTATATATATATACAATGTTGCTGTTGTTGGCTGTGAAATCGAAGTAAAGTTTGAAATAAACCCAAAGAGCAAAAGGAGCAGACGAAGGCAGCCTGTGTGGCACTCTGCGGCAGTCCCGAGTGGCAGCAGGCAACTCGCATAGTTAGCAAAAACCACTAAAAGTGTCATAATTCGATGCCCATGAGATGCCTGTCTCGAAAGTACGTTGGCCAAAAACTTTGGCGCCGATAATGAGTGCCAGGTTGCGTCTGTTGTTCTGCCAATGGCAGAGCCTCGAGTCTCGGGTCTGGGGTCTGGGGCCCCTGGCCAACGGTGCGTATCAGCAATCTGTCCACTTGCTGCACCGCCTGCTGACCTCACCCGCAACATTGTCGCACGCCGTCAGCTCACCGAGCTTAGCCGCTGTCCACAGCCCATGCAAGGTCTGCAAAGTTGCACGAACATCGAATCGAATCGAAACGAATCGAATCGCATCGCATCGCATCGATCCGCCTGCAGCTGCTCCTGTTCTTTGCACTGCATTTCAAGCATTGCCTTACAGCTGCTGACATAAATCAAATTCAACACACAGTTCTCCAATATGAAGTCGGCCAGGCACAGCCGCAATGCCCACACGAAATCGGAGCATGCCATAAATTTAAGAAACTTGCGTCGAAAGACTTAAACAAGAGACAAAGGAATCCACAATAAATATTTATGAGCTTAAGCTATAATTAGAAATAACTTTTACATACATCTCCTGGCAAGTAGAAAGACTTATTATACCCTGTACCCATTGAAAATGGAAATGCAGGAATGTTTTGTGAAGACGTATGAATCTGGTTGAAGGAGGAGGAAGATACCTTTATATATATTCTTGATCAGGACGATAAGCTGAGTCGATGTAGCTATGTACGTACGGCCGTCCGTTCGTCCGTCCATCTGTCCTGCCGTAAAGTCTATCCTTTCTCTGAGTCGATGTAACCATGTCCGTCCGTCCGTCTTTCTGCCTGTCCCGTCCGTCCATCCGTCATTCTAAATTTCCGTCCGTCCTCCCATCTGTCCGTCCGTCCATCTGTCCGTCCGTCCATCTGTCCGTCCGTCCATCTGTCCGTCCGTCCAGTCTATCCTTTCTCTGAGTCGATGTAGCCATGTCCGTCCGTCCGTCTTTCTGCCTGTCCCGTCCGTCCATCCGTACGTCCGTCATTCTATCTTTCCGTCCGCCCGTCCATCTTTCCGTTCGTCCGTCCATCTGTCCGTCCGTCCAGACTATCCTTTCTCTGAGTCGAAATCACCATGTTCCTCCGTCCGTTTTTCTGTCTGTCCGTCCGTCCATCAGTCTATCCTTCAGTCCGTCCATCTGTCCGTCCATCAGTCTATCCTTTCTCTAAGTCGTTGTAGCCATGTCCGTCCGTCCGTCTCTATCTATCTATCTGTCTATTCTTTAATCCGTTTATCCTTCTATCCGTTCATCCGTCTGCAGGACTTTAGTAAAGTATGTAGAGCACGTGCTTATGCGTGTGTATGTATTGGTTGCCCTCTTATACATGAAGTATAGAATGCTAAGACCAAGAGTCTCTCCTAGTCGATCATTGTCGACTAGAGCTATTTAATGATTTAATTTAATTTTCATTGTCCTTTAAGACTTACCTGTTACTCGGACACCTTCCTCATTGATAAGCTACAAATCTGAAGTTAATTACAATAATTATAATAAGTTTAACAATGCAATCCAGAGGATCTATGTACATTAGCTCTTAGCTCCCTTCAACGTAGTTTATTCGATACAAATTTATAGAATAAATAGTTAGAATCAGATATATGTACAAGGGGGTCTGAGTTCTATGGGGTCTTCTATGCTATTTATAAGTTAGAAATAGTAACAACCGTAACATATGTACACAGGTAAGTTAATTAACGAGCTATCAACGCCCACACAGAAACAACCACAACAGCGACTACAGTGGGCTGTGGAGCCCATTGTGGCAGTCGTCTCAGCCCAGACTGAGACTCTTCAACTTGTTCTTCTTTTCGACGCCCACGCTGTTGGCAAACTGTTTGTCCGCCTCCATTTTGTACTCCTTGAGATTGTAGTGCGTCGCCTGTAGCCAAGGTAAAGAGCGAAATGAAAGCGCATCTACGAGCATATATAAACTACTCACATTGAGGGCGTCTTTGAACTCGGTCTGGGCCAAGCGTTGTATGCCGCGGAAATTACGGCCCAGAATGCGGCCCAACTCGTACCGGGTAATGCTGTAGGCCTCCGTGGTCGTTGTCGTCGTCTGATCACTGCTATTCTCTTCGCCACTGGAAGGCTGTTAACATCATTCAGAGAGTAATTATGAAATTGAATTGAAACTTATGGAAAATTGACAATCTTCAGTTGAGAAAGACCTCAAAGGAGACAAAACAAATTCCTTTGGATGAAAAGACTGCAGCTGAATATGAATTTATATATATAAATATATATTATATATGTTACACAATGTGAAGTGAAACAAAATGGGATGGGAAAGATGAAAGTTGACTGAGTTAACAAAAATATGGCTCAATTAACTGCAGATGGGTTATATGTCTTAATAATAAATATATATATATATAATATATTTAATTATTATATTATATATTTTATTAAATATATTTTAATATGTAATTCAGAGAAATTGCAAATGTTTTCCATGATTCCAAATTTGATCTGCTCAAGTGACGGGAAAACCTTCGGGTAATATTTTATTTTCCAGTTCGAGTTCAATGCTTTCATTGCACTCAATTGAAATCCCATTTTTAATGGGCTCAGCTTATATACAATATTTAAATTATTTATGTCAGTTGTGATGTTGTAATTTAATATTTGTTTAAATCATTTTAATATTTTCTGCTATCTTTTTCAACTTTTTTATGCAGTGGACAGTGGACATAGAGTTTTCTTCATATAGCTACATTTGACTAGTTTTCGAAAGGAATATTTTCAGAAAAGTTTGCTAGTGTCCCGTTATAGCAAGCAGGATGAGTGCTAATCAAGCTCAGCCGCTTAATGAGCGCTTAGTTCAAGTGGGAGTAAGGCATATGAATGCCTTAAGTCAAGCATCTCAAGCAAATACCATTCAAATAACAAATGAAAAGTCTTGAGGATAGGAGGTTACAAGCACTGTGAACTTTAGACCCAACTATATGGGGCCAAGCCATACGAGCAGAAAATCAGTTACAATTATTGGTATGTGAGCAGAGTTGGTAACATTTTGCGTCTTACCTGCTTTTCGGTTGTTGGCCTTGGCTGACTTGTTGGCTTGACTGGGCCGGGGTCACTGAACTGCTCGTTCACGGTATTGTAGATGTCGTTAAGAGTGTTTCGAGTGTCCGTGTATTGCTGCCAGATAACAAACGAGACATGTAAAAACTAATCAATTGCAATAGAGCTCGGTTCACATACATCGACAATCAGATTTTTGGTTATGACCATTTTCTGGAAGAAGTCCCAAAAGATGCCCCGCTTGCTGCGAATGTGCGGCTCATCGCTGGCAGCCGGCGACAGTCGCTGCTCCTGGCCACTAGCCATGGCTAAGCCCAGCAACAGCATCCAACTGCCTAGCAATAGCAGTGCTAGCAGTCGATCAGCTCTTATGGCCTTCATTCTGAAAGAGACAACAATACAATCTCTGATATGATTAGCAAATATTCCAATTAAATGTTGGTAATATGGATGGATTGGGTGAAGAAGGAACTAAAATTCAAAACAGACTTTATTAAGTGAATGAGAATCAGAATTTGCTATGAAATTCTTGTAATATCGAATGCTGTTGGACATATCCTAGAACATTCAGCATAGGCTATCATATAAGTTTTTCTAATATCGAGTGCTTTAATAAATTATATATATATAAATATTATATATATTTAAATATTAATAAATCGAGAAAATTTGAGGAAATTAGTTTGCCCATGTCGCTGCCGCAGTTGGATCGTATAGAACACCCATTTTGGCAATCTTCACAATTTCTTGAAGTCATATAGACCAAGGGGAGCTATCCTTACTCGAAATACAACAATTCTAGCCATTTACGTACATGGATACGTCAGCGAAGATGGGCCTCATCATTCTGTACATCATGAAATGAATGAGGTGCGCCATAAGTAAAATTATTATTTGGATAACAAATTTCAATAACTTACAAATGTTGCTCTTATGATTGTCTATCAAACAAATAATGTCAAGCCAATCTCAACAAGAAGCAGCAGAAAGTTATTAGATTAGCTGTCAAATAAAGCAATGTTGATAACTCAAAGTTGGTGAATATTAAAAAAAAGTCTTTACACTTGAGTTGAATTAATATAAAGAAAAGTCTCAGATTAAATGAAGTATTTGTGGGGAAAAAAGTAATACTCCTGGTAACAGAAACGATCCATTATTAATTAATAAAATTTCTTTTCTTAGATTCTCAATTTGAATGCCTCACAAAAATGGGTTCAAGGAGCAGCAAAGAAAAGTTTCCACGATCTCTTCTAATTCATACATTAAACGCGCCTTCTCTCTCTAGAATCTTCAAGCAAATATATATTTATATAAGTATATATATAGCTTACTCGAGAGTAAACTCTTCAGTGAGAGTTCAGCCGCAACTCAGTTGCCAGCGACTGCTTGGGACTTGCTTGCAAGCTCGACTGTTTTATTGGCCTTAAAGTGAGACGATATTAACCTTTTATTGCCAGCAGACATGACGAAGGGCCAACAATAACAAATTTACCTAAAACGATTGGCAAATAAGTGCAGAAGAGATTTCAGCTGCCGCCAGGACTGTCTGACAGTTGCCATTTGCCAAATTGACAAATTGCGCATACGCCACGTGAACGGCAATAAGACTCATATTGTTGTTGGGCAGATTAATAACCTAAACATACGGAAAGGCATCAAATAAATTGTATCACATTTACGGAGGCTGAGCCAACATCAGCCAATGATTCATATCTGTCAATTGTGGGGCATGCATAACTCTTTGCTCGTAAATATTTGCGCTCAATTAATATTTACGAAAGGTTTCTCTTTAACATCGATGGACGAGTGTGTGTGTATGTGTGTGTGTATTTATTTGACTAAGTATTGCACGCACAATGCACAATTTCAATTAAAATCACGCCAATTACTTAAGAAGTCAACAGGAGAAGGAGATTTAGGGATCCGAATTTACCTTGCGAAATGCATATGCAATTATTGCCATGCTCACAGACTACACACACACACACATACACATATATATGTCTGCATATAAACATATGATCAAATATGTTCGTGGCCAAAAATAAAAAAGCATCATAGAGAATGTTGCTGCTGCTGTTCCCTGTTGGCGCTGCCATAGCTGGCAATCCTTTGGACCATCGTGATTGCTTTAATGCTACTTAAGTGCTTAACTGTTTGCCAGACGGGCGCTGCATCAGTCCCAACAACAGCAGCAACAAGACGGCGAGCGAGGCATCGAAAGTAATACACATAAAACCAGAAAACAAACAAGCCAAAGGAAAAAACTACTTCAAGTGCAAACTTTTCCTTTTGGGCTGAGCAAAACGAAACCAAACCAAACCAAACCAAACGAAACGAAATGAAATGAAATGAACAGAGAAGAAGCCCTCAGCAGGCATCATGCAGCATGCAGCATGCAGCATTCAAATGCATATGTATGTAGCCCAGCTGCCAGTGTGTTTGTATGAATGTTGTATGTATCGATTGCTAACTGCAGCATAAGGCAATCAGTTGAAAAACATTTCACTCTGGATGCCATGCAATTGACTTTCATCACAAAACTTGCCATCGCAATCGAAATATGTAAATATGCCGCTCGCATATGATGATATCTGCCTATAGTATCTTAAGTTTGTCGATTTGTAGTGCCCTCGATGGCACAAAGGGGATGCCACTTCGCACACAGCGGCCAGGTGTTGCGGCTCTCATGACCAAATCACGATTGTTGACAACCGCAAGCCGTAAGCCAAGCTGCCAGCCACGCCCGTCACGCTCTCCAGCAGCCCCAAAGCTTGCATTGGCAAGTTTGTTGCTTTTGTCGTCTGTGTTGTCATTGTCAGCGTCTTCGTCATTTGGGCCAGGCGCAGTCGCCGTGCAACTGGAGTATTTTAATTATACCCTAATGGCGCATAACAGCCTCCTCTCTATCTGTCTCCAGCATCCACAGGCAGCGCCAGCTGGGCCAGCGACGAGCTGCTCATTACGCCCCAAAGAACTTCATTGGCATTGGAATCCCTCTGCCGCTGCCACTTTCCACAACTTTGGCTATTTTTCGAATAGCTATTTGCTGCTGTCCCTCCGTCCATTGCACTGTTTGCAGGTAAATTTGCACTGGCCCGCAGTTAGGTGCAAACCTCCCCACCAACCTCTCTCGATCTCTGCGAAAACTCTGCCTTTTCGACTTGCCAAGTGTAGGGTATATGCCAAAGGGCTTATTGTTACAGCCAAAGCTGATTCCATATCATTTGCTAATTTCTCATTTATACGTCTTTATATAACTAACTCTATTTTGTTATTGCTATAATCTAACTTAATAACTGCTATTGCTGCATACGATTCACAGTCATTGAAGTGGTCATTTTCGTTCTCTAAATTAACATTCAAATTTGATCTATATATATATATTTATTTTTAGATAGATCTTTTCTCTTTTGCTTCTGCTCATTTTCATAAAATAATATTTTCTCGAATTTCGAGGAAAAAGGCATCCAGGCGGCGCTGTGCTTTGCGTAGCTTTTCTGATTTTCCTGTTGCCGCCTTTCGCTTACTTTTGTTACCAGTTTTTCGGCAATTCTCGTTGCACTTTTGTGCACGCTTTGATTATTTTATTGCCATCCACGCCAGCCCCCAGCCACGCCTGGGCTGAGCATTGAAACAAACTTCATTTTGAAATTAAAACTTTTTGGCCAAACGGCAAACGGAAAAGCGACCAAGGCAATCGCATTCTTGATTTTGTTTTCCAACTGGCTCATCAACTGGCCAACAAAACTTTGTAATTATATCAATGAATAGCTGCTGCTGGTCAGACAAGCAACGTTCGTACCATAAGAAAAAAAATAGTGGGCTGCTCGGGGTGTGCGTGTGTGTGTGTGTGTGTGTGATAAATTTATTCCAGCTCGAGCACTGCAATAGTCAAAAATCAATCAATTTTCTTATGCTGGTGCGAAATTTTTGCATTGCATTTCAATTAAATTAAATTTAATTTGAATGTGGCCAAGACAAGGAGCACCTACCAGCGGGCCTAGCTCCCTGGTCTGCCAGCTCGACTGAAGGACGTTCACATTCATGTCCAATCGAATGCAACGACAACTGTCCAACGTCCATTGCCTCATGTATACTTGCAACAATAGCTCTGAATTGCTTCGTTCGTTCATGCAACTTATAATTTCAATGCTCACAAACACACAGAGAGAGGGAGAGAGAGAGAGAGACAGGCAGAGCTGTCTCCTTAGCGAGCGAGATAGCGCACGTCAAGACAATTTTGCTTGGATTCTCGCTTCATTTTGCATTTGCATGTTAAGTACCAATTAAATAGGACTTAAGACTGAGTTAAATGTTGACGATATGTTGCTACGCCAGCAGCGTCTATACTCTCCACTTCCAGCTCCAGCGCATCGATAAGCAAACATGTTGGCTCACACACACATCTTACAGTTGGACTCATGTCGGAGCAGTAATTGCTGAAAGTAATGTCAATTCAAAAGCAGATCTCATAACTAGCTCTAATAAGAGCAAATTCATAAGCTCTGCAGTTCACGTCGTCATATTGGGTATATCAACTATGTCTCCAATCGTCTATCAAGCTTTGTGCTTGTCCATAGGCGAGGCAACTTTGCTCTTAAGCATAGATGCCTACATATGAACATGCATATATATATATATATATATATATATTCTGATATATGATATCTAACAATTGTGAAGATATTGATAAGCAGCAAGTACCATGCAACTGCCAAACAGTGAATGCTTTTCCCTTATAAGGCACACAGACAAACTGATCTAAGTAATCTATAAATAGATTATACTTTTGAGATGGCCTTGAACGTGGCATGTCTGAAACTGAAATCAAATTAGCCCATCACATTAGGCTTTCAACATATTCTAATCTGCATAGGAATATATTTAGGATAATGTTTATTAATGTTTTATCATGGTATATTTTAATATTGAGAATCTTAATTTATATTATGTTCTAATTCGACTATTTTCTTAACATTTTTAATATATTTTTTAATTTTTGCTTTTTGGCTCTCTGTCTCTAGTCCTCTCTCTCTCTCTTTTTATTTTTCTTTTTTCTTGCTATCTTTTTCTCTTTTCCTCTCTCTCTCTCTCTACATTACCCTCTCTTACTCTCCAACTTCCTCTCTATCTTACGCCCTCTCTCTTTCTCCCTCTCTGTCTGTCTTTCTCTCTCTTTCACTAGCTCTCTCTCTATCTCTCTCTCTCTCTTTCTCCTTCTATTTTAGCTATTTCAAGAATCTTTCAGTTCTTTCATCGACAGCCTTCACCACTGCTTTGCCTTTATAATTGCTGTAACCATTTGAGAATTGTAAAGTTGCAGATTTTTTAAAGAAATCTAATTTCAAGCCTGTTTACCAAATGGCATACAACTCACTGTAAAGTGAGAGCGATTATATATGATATTCTATTTTATATAATATATTGCATATATATTGTTATAATTATATTTAATATATATAACTTAATATTTCATTGGACAATATATAAAATCTCCAGAGCTCAGAGTTGTCATAACTGAACTGAAATCGATCTCTTAATAAAATTGCTAACTGTGCTACATTTTCAATAAATTATTAATTTAAATTAAATTCTAAACTGAAAAAAATTTGAAAATGAAAAAAAATATGCAAATTTTATAGTTATATTTAAGAAACAGCTACACTTGTGTCTGCTGCCATTAATAGTTATCAAAATTGTTAGTTAACTAACTAAAATAACTTAAAATGTTGTAGGCCGGAGGCCGCCGACTGCTTAATACCCGTTCAGCTTACTCATTTCGGATAATGGGGTTAGATGTATACACAATATATATTTTTGATCTTGGGTGGCCAATGCAAGTAGAAATCTCTGATATCTTTACGCATAGCAAATATAGTATTTTCTGAATACTTTATCAGACGAAGCTACCTACGGGACGAAAACCAATATACTCTGCTCACTTTGTGAACGAGTATAATAAGATTAAATTGTGCAAGGTCTGGAAATGCCTGCTTGCTTCTTGCATGATTTAAATATATATATATTAATAGCTTTGCTTTTGCAAGTTGTCTGAATATTGATTTCCATTCGAGTTCGTGAGAAAAACAATGAAATTGGAAATAAATGCAACATTTGTGCTGCTTGCCAGCCCAGCATTGGTATTGGCATTGGCATTGGCATTGGCTTAGCTGAGACCAATTAATTTTGTTAGCCATATACCATATGTGGTTTTATTGGCGCACAGAGGACTCTCCCAGTTTTCGGGCTAAGCGTGTAGAAGACGAGTTGGACTTTAATTGCGACCTGGCCTCAAAATACTAGCTATAATTAAATTGGAAAGAAATAAATTCAAATGCTCGGCAAGCCATATGGCAATACTTGCCCATCAAATTGCCAATAAAATGTATTTTTATTTAAATTAACAGATGAAGGTCGAGGCCAGAGGCGATCGTAAAACACAACTTCGCCCGACCCAACAGCCGACAGCTGCCACATAGAACGGGTTGCATAATAAATGCAAATAATGCTTTACGATGATGGCCCCAAAATAGTTGCCGCAACGCCAAAAGGACCTTCCACCATTGGCCAAGTGTGTACGCGTGTGTGTGTGTCACGTATATCTGTTATACGTGTGTGTGTGTGGCGTGTGAACGTGTTTTTTCGGCTGGCACCTGGCTGTTGGCGAAAATAACAGCAAGGGCAACAGCAACAACAACTTGAAATTTCATTTAGCGAATGGATAGCGATTCATAACTGTCATATATTAACAACAACTAATGTGCGTCTCGATTGAACGTAGCGATTTGCTGTGCCCAAGTACTTGCGCTCGCTGCTATGCAGAGTCGCTGGACACACGGCAGAGTGCATTAGGGCTAGCAGCCGCACCTCAAGCTCGAGCAGTTCCATCAGCGACCACAATCCTATCGCAAACATCTATCCTATATATACCCTACACTACACATGCATGCGACGGCGTGTTTGCTTCACGCAACTCATAAAGGTGACTAGTCGCCCTGTCTCCCTCCCTCTCGCCCTCTCTCTCTCTCTCTCTCTCTCACTCTGTGATATGTTATTTATTTTCAGGGCACGGCAGGGCAGGGCAGGACATGGCGTGGCAGCACAAGGCGTTCGCTTTCTGTAAGCTCAACCGGAAAATTGCTTTTCTCGATGAGTAGTCGCTGGCGTAGCCTTTGCTTTTGTGTTTGACTTATGTTTGCGACTCTAATGGCCGCCAGACAGCAACATCAAACAGTCAACAGTAGCGAAAACAACAGAGTCGAAGAGCCAACAGACCGCATCTAATATACTCTGCCAGCAGCGACTTTCCTGCCAAACTGATCTGAACTATGCCTAAAATATATAGTCGAGTCTTCACTTGTATAAAGAGTCAGAGCTAAAGGAATTGAAGTCAGCTAAAATCATTCAAATGGCAGCAGTTGGTCCAAATTTGTCCAAATTCTACTCTGCCTGAGCAAACTGATCTGAGCTATGCCTAGCACACATAGCAAATTCGTCACTTGTATAAAAGTTCAGAGTTAAGAAATTGCAGTTAGATAACGTAATTTAAGTGGCAGCAGTTGGTTCAGATTTTTGTGAATTGCTTCTATATATCGACTCAGCTTTGCTGACTACCTTAATATCAATATACTCTTAACATAAGTTAACTTGAGATCATGGAGAATTTAATCTCGCTTAGATCTTTAAACTATGCGCGGCGTGGACCAGGCACAGGGAACGTTACGTTAACAGACTAAAAACTGAGTCGAAGTTTGCTCAATTTATTCTAACTTTAATTTACAAATAAATGAAAAACTATATCAAATATTTTGATAATCACAATGTATCGTTAACTCAAACAGCTGCTGAGCACAATTATTGGAAGTAGCATCACGCCGGGTCAACCACTTCCTAGGGACTCTGCAAAGCTCTCTGTTAGGGCATGCAATGAGTAAACAAATACAAAAGCAACTAGCTGGGATTGGTTGTTTGAACCCTTTTTTCCTTTACTCTTACTTTCGTTTTGTTTTTTTGTTGGATTTTTCCTTTCTGGTTTTTTCGTTTTTTTTTTGGCGCTGCAAAATTCGCAAATTGTTTGCACTGCTGTAATTAAATTTGCACCCGCAATGCAATTGGCGGCGCAGCCTTCGACAGCAGCTGGCAGCGAGCATTGCCTTAAATTTAATTGTTATATTAACATTATTTCATGATACCAGACAGGCAGCGAGCGCTGCAAGCGGCAACGGGTCGGCTACGTGATCGCCATGGCGCGCTTATAAATCACATTTCGTATACGCAGCGTAGCAAAGGCTCGAAATAGAGAGCGTTTTGAGCAGCCATGTCCGGCACGTCATTCTAGCCGGCTATGTACGTGCCAACTGTCAGACTAGTCAGAGCAGCCGCATGGCTCAAAAGGAACCTTCCGAGCCAGCGCAGAGCAAAAGCAACTCAATAAATAATACATACACATACGTGTCTATCGAGCGGGAGGAGATGTGCGTGTGTGTTTGTGTGTGCGTATGTGTGTGCTTGTGTATGGTAAGTGGAAATATGCTTGAATTTTAAGTAATGCCAACAACCAACATCCATATATGTGATAGAATTTGTTCTGGCTGACGGATTGGTCAATGGTGACCAAAGGTAAAAGGCGGAAGTTTCAATAGGGCTCAGACCCTAAAAGCTTCGAGCTGAATGCTTAGGCAGGTCGAAGGTGAAAGGTGCAAGGCTATAGAGTATATAAACTGGCATACATAAGCTCAGCTGTGCGATTCAGAACATTTCGTTTAAGAAATAAGTCTAGTTATATTCGTAGTACAAAGTTCGAATCTTTCAATCTTGATTGACATTTCAGCAGCAGAAGAAGAAGCACTAAATAAATATATATAGAAGAATTGTTTAGCAACTGAAAACAGAGTATTGTGCAGTCGGGTATAGTCGCCTGTCAAACATTTACCTAAGCAAATGAAGTGCTGTCTGTAGTTGGCTTTGCTGCCTCGAAATAATTCGGGCCGGGTGCCACCTGCCAGACGATCTATGAGACAAAGCGAATATGAAAAGAGGCAAAAAAACGATATTCAAAACGGGTTGCAACGACTAAGCCATACTCGTTAACAATTCACTCAGATAGCGCCATGCCTCGAATTTTTCACTCCGCTTTGCCCATTGAATATGGACGCAAAATATTTGCATTTTTGCAGTAAGTCTATGTGACTAGCCAATATGCTCGTTATAGTGGGCTGAGCGGGTATTTAAACAACACACACTTAACCTTGATTTTATGGTATTCGAGTCGACTTGGTGACTCAATAGACATTGACTTAAGCAGCGTTAAATATGCCGAGGTCAGTGAGTTTTTTATGAGTTATTTTTTTTTCTATTTACTTTTTGATTTTTGTTTCTTGGCCAACAATAACAACGCGTTAGCCTAATCGTATCGACAACTATTACCAAATTGAGTTAGCCAAAACAATTTTAGTGGAATTTGCAGCTTTGTTTGATTATCTCTTTGGGAGATTTGCACCTGCAATTGTTCACTTCGGTTTGCAACTTGTTGTTTACCATTCCGCAAATCCGCTAACAAGTAAATATATCGATCAACTGAAATCGAAATTTCCAAAGTGCCAATTGCGCATGATTTGGTCTTTACTTAATTTTGATATCTATTTGCAATTGATATCATATTGATTATAGATATATTTATTATGTCTGCGTATGACAGATCATAATCGACCGATATTTATCGATTTATTTTTAAATTGATGAATGTATGTATGCAGTATGAATATGTATGCTCACAATATATACATTACTTAGCTATATATGCCGATGCATGTATATGTATCGATATATCGATAATATTGCATATCGATAACTCTTTGAAGTGCGCTCTATATACAGTGTACTCTGTACTTAGTTTATCTTGTAACTAACGTATTGAAGACAAAGCTTGGCACTTAAATGTGCCCGAATTCGATATACCCAGCACCTGGCAAAGAGTAATGACTACAAATGGAACCTCAGCCCAAGTACACAAACACACACGCACGCAGGTAGTTCGAATAAGAGTGATTACAGGGTATGTACAAGTGCAGCATTTTACATCAGTTTTGATGCATGTAACTCTTCTATAACATTACTTCCAACTAGTTGTAGTATTTCCACTGATTACAGAACTCAAGTCTAATTCCATGCATTTAGCCATTGGCCAATCGATTTATATCGAAACGCAACTAACTAACACATCAAAACAAACAACAATAATTAAAGTATAAATATTTTTTATCACATTGTATCAACAGAAAATAAACTCACTCGCTTTCACTTGGCACACACAAAAAAAAAGAAGTAAATATATTTACAAAACTTAACAAAAACAAAAAAAAAAGAGAAGAAGAAGAAAAATATTGAAGTGTAACCGAAAACGAATTGAATTTCTGGTCGAGCACCGAGCATAAAAATGTTTTGGGATTACTTGATTTAAACGCACGCGAAAGAGAACTAAACGCAACGACAACCAAATTGTTTAAGCTCTATGCAGCCAAATAAAAAAAAGTAACAAAAATAAATAAATTATCCACAGCCGAGCTGACGGCGTCGACCGAACCGGACTGCGCACAGTGGTGTGGTTACATACCTTACAACAAGTAAATATGTAAATTTTTTTAATACTATGGCAAGAGACAATATATATATATATATATATGTAAATATATGCTCACAATATATATTGGTGATATTTGATAAGATAAGTACATTAGTTATTCTAGGTAAAATATTCATTTATATATTAATTTGTCAACTGTTACTTGATTCATTTATATGAACTACAACAAAATAAAATAAAATAAATTAACTTAAATTAAATTTAATATTATTAGTTAATTTGTTATATTTATTATATAATATTTTATCATTAAAAATTTCAAATTATGATCATCCAAGCAGATGCTATGAATATAACAGCCGTTTTCTTTTCAAAGCTCACTTATTTGCCTATCATCAAAGAAATGCTGTTCACAAACTGATAGCGATTAACCACTGTGCGTAGCTAGCATCGGCGAGCGACGAAGACCACGGACGATATCGTCTTCGGGCTATTCAAAGTGCAGCACAGCAGCAGCTGACCAAGCAACGGCATCCACGACGACTGCGCAGCTGACCGAGCGACGACAACAGCGGCGACTGCGCAGCAATGCCGCTGCACCGCATGGAGCTGCGTCACCAAATACACCCCACCACACCTCTTACCCAGTTGCTGTAAAGTAGTAAACGGTGTAAGCGGCACCAGCTACAAATATAGTGACTATGTAAACGCCAGAGCAGGTTTTGCTTTTATTATTTTCATTTTTGCTCTTGCATAAGAGCAGCCGGCGAGCAATAACGAGAGTACATGCAGACACACACACACAGAAATATGTATGTGTGCATGCATTCGCATGATGTAATAGTACATGTACATACGCACAGACTAGTGGGACCGTCAAGCATAAGCAAATGAATGAAAAACGCGCAAAAAAGAACAATGGAGAGTTTGAAGTTCGAGTCTGGCCTGTTTGGCTGTTGCAGCGAGGCATACATAGGTACATATGTATGTATGTATGCTTGTAGTGGGGTATAAAGATCGCAAATGTCATTTGAGATCAAGCTATAATAACTTTGTATTTGCTTCTACTTACATACATAACAAACTCAACTATTCGTAGAAGGAAGTAAATAAGAGTAGTCTACGAAATTTGAGAATTAAGTTGCGTGCTCATACTCATTTAAGGAAAAATAGGGTATGTTGGCTTTGGGATAATTTCGAATAAGTGAATTAGTCCTATAAACGCATCAGTCTTATAGATTAATACTTGGTTTCAGAAGCTAGAAGACATCCATAAGCGATGTCCATAGAATACATAGTCAATTCAAAATCTTTCGCTTTCGTGAATCAAATTTAAGTATTTGAGCATATCGTAAACAAAAATCTGACAGATTTCACATTTCGGTTACCGGTGGGTTAGGGTGTCTGCTAGTCGATCAGTCTCGCCTGGACAGCACTTGTTTTTATTTCCTTATTGCTGTGGGCTATAGATGAGTTGCAATGCCCCCTGCAATAGCCATTGGCGGTGGCAACTAGGCTTAAACGTCTGACCACACGGCCCCAATAATAGGCGAGACAATTTCTGATCCATTTTTATGGCATTTAATGGCCAAAATGTTGTTAGCAGGCCAATTCACATGAGGTCGTATGCACTCGCACCTGTTAAATGCGATTATGTAATGAATAAAAAACCATATAGACATATACACATATATATAATATGTGGGTAATGCGTTTCAATGAAGCTTAAGTGATTTGTTCTTTGGTTTACTGTAACTCGTTCGGCAGCGCCATCTGTTGGCTTCGACTCAACTAAGCCGCGCAAAGCCGCACAGCTTCTGTGTGCGGCTCCGCTCCGCTGTGCACTCGCGCTTGCCGCTCGCTTTGTTTTGGGGCCACAAATGCAATATGCATAACGTAATATGCAGTTGGCAAAATGTTGGCTTTTGGTATTTGTAAAAATATTTTATCGGCTTCGTGTTTTTCAATATTTTTGCGTATTAAAAATACATGTATATTCATTTTCCTACCACAAACCCGACAAAACAAAGAAATACAAAAATTGTTTCAAAAGTCGCCCCAGCTGAGCGTGCACGATCCTAACATACCCTTTGGCGATGCCAATTGAAAGCAAAATTCGAAATTATTTATTGATGTAGTAAGGCAGTCATGCAGTGACATAGCTGAAAATGATCGACTGCGACATACCCTATACTGATATTGTAGCTTATAAGCCTACAAGCTCAGACTCAGACTATCAGGCTGTAGTGTTCATAAAAATGGTAGTGCAACTGAAACGAATTTTTAGATAAATACATTTTTTTTATTAATTTAGATATTTTTTTAGTACCAATCTTAGGAACATGTTTACTTTGTGGCTTAAAGACGAGAAATTCTCAAAATGGAGTTGTTTAAAAAAATAGTAGTGGTTACTTAAAAATAAAACTATATATATATATATATATTTTTTTTTTACAGGGTATAAGTAGCACATGAGTCTAGAGTCTGTTCAATCTATTTCATTTTTAAAATAAACATTTACTTTAGCGAGAAACTAAATCAATAAATTATCGGATTAGGGAATTAAGGAGCATTATAATCGTTTTGAAAGGAAATTTGAATTTTTCACTTGAGTTTTTTTTTTTTCATTGAAAAGCGAGAATAAATAATGTTGGCAAACCCAATTTGGCTGGTTTGCTCTTATCAAGGCCAACAAACACTTTGTTGTTGTTTTTCTTCTTTTTTTATTGTATTTTAATACCTCTTGACCACTTGCAAGAGATTATGGCCGACAACTGTCAACTGCTTGACAAGCTTAAGCCATCTGCCCATCAACTCATCAATTATTCCAGTGCTTCCAGCGACCAACTGTTGCTTTAGCGCTTCCATCTGCGCTCTCATGTGCCTGTCGAAAGTCACCACAGCACAGCAACGTCGCGTCGCAACAAATTTCAAACTCAACACAGAGCTTAGGTTCGTGCTTTCAGTACGCCTCAGCTGTTCGTATGGGCGACATCATCGTTGGCTGTGTTGCGTTCGGCTCGGCGACTGTTTTCACTATGAAATTCTCCTTTTCGACTATGCTGCCATTTACATAGGCCACTTACTCAACCAACACACCCTCCCACCCACACACACGCGTGCATATAGATAACAATGAAAATATAATTTTAGTGCCTAGTAAAAATCCATAGTGGACATCACTTTTGTTACGCTTCGCTTTGCTTTGCGTGCAGCCAAATAAAAGATAATAGAATTGGCAAAAAAAATAAAGAAGAGAAAAAACCAGAAAAGAAAAAAATGATAATAAATAGTTGGAAAAGCTAGGACTTTTGCTCTATTGTATGGCTAGCCCTTTTTTGTTATATTTTTTTTTTCTATAAAAGCCGCCCAAAAAAAACTATGAAAATGATATCGACGCGGGCGCAAGTCAAATTTAATTTCACGCTTAGGAAATTCTTTCCGTTAGACCTCGTAAAAAATATATAAAATAAAAATGAATTTCTAATAAAAACAAAAAAAAAAGAAAAACACATTGACTTGAACCACTCGAATCTATTCAAAAGTTTCGCCACTCGCGTGAGCAATGGTCGGCGAGGCGGACATATATATAGGCTATGCATACATACATATATAGATTATCTATCAAATAGATTTGGATATATGTATTTACGGTGAATGTCGCTCGTGTCTATGCATATTCCAGTTGGGAATTAGAGCTTTACATTCTACTCTTAGCGCCGGGCATTTGCTCGCTCTAAGTGGCTCGGGCCATCGAACTACGAGTGAGCGGGTTCGAATCACACAGTCGACTTTATTGTCTTTCGCGCTAGTGCCATGCAGTTAGTAGTGTCATCGTATTTATGGCCTATAGACAACAAGCAATCAAGGCATTAGGTAAGGTTTGGATACCCAGCCGGAAGAAGCTTGGAGAACTTTAGGTCAAATGACACAAGATATGTTGAAGCTTATTGAAGAGTTGGTGCAGAGAGTGAGAGAAAAAGGGAGAGAAAAATAAAAAGAGATAGAGAGAGAAAAAAAAGAGAGAGGGAGAGAGAGAGAGAAAAACAAGAGAGAGAGAGAGAGAGAAAGTGATCTAGAAAGCGAGAGGGAGAGACAGAGGATCAGAGAGAGAAAGAGAGAGAGGCAGGTAGTCCGTGGTTGAGAGAGAATGACAATGAGAGAATGGAAATGAGATAGAGAGAAAAAGAAAGGGACAGAGTGAAAGAGAGCGGGATTAATAAAGAAAGAGCGTCAGAAGGATAAAAAGTAGGAGAGGGTCAAAGAGAGCAAAATATATATAGAGAGAGTCAGAGAGACAAAGAGAGATATTAAATTGCTATACTTTAATATAGAGACTCTGGAGAGCTCATACCCTTACTCTACTTCACTTCTACCTGAAGCATCGACAGATGATATTCCCATCATGGTAAGGAATAAATCTGATAGAAATCGGGCCAAATCAGATCAGTCGAAAAACAACTCTACACAGAAGACTCGATTTCCTTTGACTTAAAGTTCTTGGACTGTTAGATCATAATTTCTGGGTCTTAAAGGAGTATAAAGATACCTGATTGTAAGTACTCATGAGTCAAGCCTCTTCCAGTGTTTCCACTGAAAAATTTGATCTGCTGCTATATCTCACTTGATCATACGAATATCAATGCAAACTAGGCATAGCTTTCCCTCTGGAAGCTTGGTTTTGTCCGTATGAATTTAGTTTTAGATCAGAGTCTTT